TTTTTGTTTTTTTTTTTCCAAATTTTCGGAATCCCCCCTCCTCCCCTTTTGTTTCTTTTCCTTCCGCTCCAAACATACAATTGTATATAATTACACCCCTTACGACCCCAATCATGCTATTCTTTCACATTAACCACCTTTTTTTTTCACTATTACCCTTACCATGTTGTAATAATGAAAGCGAGCGAGGTACAATCTTTTCAAGCTTCATCCTTTTTACTTCTTTAGCCCTTTGCACTTTTATCTCCCATGTCCATCTGAAGGTCAGGGATTTTTGAGATATATATATATATAGATGTAATACAATTGTTTTCACCTTTCTGCAATCCGATTCCTGTGCGTCCTCGTTCTCCTCGAAGATATTTTGTATTTGGTGCTTCTTTCTGTCATCCCTCTCTCTATCCGTCGCTCTTGGGGGAAAAAAGGAAAAAGGAAAGGAAAGGAAAAAAAAAAAAAAAAAAAAAAAAAAAAAAAAAAAAACTCTGGGAATTTTCCGCTCAGTTGAGATTCATTTTCGTCGTTGTAAAATGTTTTGTCCCCCTCCTTGCCTTCGAAAGATACTACTAGTATTTTCTAGATTTTCACACCCGCCCAAGGGAATTAGTTAAACCAATTACTCACATATTTGTTTTGTTTGGTGAGGTCGGCGGATGGAAAGGATCACTAGGCTTTGTTTGGTTGATCAATCCATGGCGGTGAGCCAAGTTCCTAGCTATCCCTATCGTGCGCAAAAGTTTATCATAACTAGCTCCCAGCAAATTACGTGTGTAGTGCAATAGCGTTGTAATAAGGAAATAATAGAAGAAGATGAAAAAGAAAGAAAAGAAAAGAAAAGAAAAGGGAAAAAAAGGGCTGGCTAAGAACGTTTGTGTGTGTGTGTGTGTGTGTGTGTGTGTGTCATATATCAGTTACCTGTTACGCGGGCTGTTCCGTCTATCGTTCTTTCATCCGTTCACACCCAATCTTCAGTAGAAGCGGCGGTCAGGAGGCCTAAAAGCAGAATTTGGCCGAGGAATTATAATATAAGCCTTTGCGTGAATGGTACTCCGGAGTGGATTGTGCTTAGCGGGAGGCCCACCGCACTTACAAACAGCCCCACGGTCCGGACACGGGATGGCTTGTTTGCTGTTGGCTGTTGGCTGTTGGCTGTTGGCTGTTGGCTGTTGGCGCTGCTGCGTTGTGCTTGTTGGGCACTATGGCTTGGGGACTTGGGAAGATATGGCCATGAAGTTGCTGGAATATCTTGTCAGTGATCTGGGATGGTGGTTTGGCTGGCGGCTTGGCTTATCGGTCCAAGAATCGAGGAAGAACCACCAGCCGCTTGATTAATCGCCTGTTGACGGTTAGTACTAGGAGTAATGTGAGTCGAGGAGGTGCGCATAAAAGTGCGTGGAGGAATAGGTGTAGTATTTCTCTGCCTCATCGTTGTAGTTCATTTTCTGCCCATGTCCGCTTTCTGCATCGGCGGATCGTGTGACACTTTCTCTCCGCACCCTTGTGATTGCGCTGAGCCCACTGTCGGTTTTATATGTACTGTACATACTGTGCGCCCTTCTACCACTTCCTGCTATTTTATTTCCTGCTTCAGCTATTATTATCCATGAAAGTTGCCTCCGGATTTTCTCGAATAAAGAAAGTGGCCGCCTGTTGAAAGCCCAGCCCTGTGCCTGGCGATGCCCCAAACGGGCTACAGATCGCACTAGGTAATATCCTGGGTTCGCGACCTGGTTTCTTTGCTTTTTCCGCTAGTCGGTGGCTGAACAGCTCAGTTCCTGGATTTTTCTTCTTCGAGCGAGATTTTATATTGCCATCGACAACAACCTCCAGCCTCTTGACTTTCACCTTCAATTCTGCCCGATTCAAATCCTTCCTCAGTCTCACTCCGTGACCATACTCCCGCCCTCGTATCGTGAATCTGGAACTTGAGAAATAAATATACTTCTTTGCGAGGGGGTTTCCTCACACCGTATCTCGGCCGTTCCATTTTCCTACGTATACGTGTCACAATGAGAAGGGATTCAAGGGCGCCCGCTGCCTGGATGGGCATTCCAGGGAGGCAGATTTCCTTGCTCTTGGTACGGGACCAAAGCTTTCCCCCCACCTTCATTGCGCCTGCATAGTGGTGTTATTAGTATTATTAGTATCGTTATTTCGTTCATTGCTAACTCATGCACTCTCTTCTGACCTGCAGTTAACGATTCAGTATACGATTTTCACATTAGTATGGAATTCTTTTGTGCCCTTGGCTCCTAGCCCCTCCAGCTCCCCACCAATATCTTACAGGACGTACATAACACACAACAAGATGGAATTGACTGAGCTAACCGTCCTGCGCATATCCAGCTCCTTCATTACTCCAGAGTCATGCCCGTCGTTGGCGGTCGACGTTACCTCACCTCAACCGCCGTCTTCCTCAATGAAGTCATAAAATTAGCAATTTGTCTCACCCTTGCGCTCTATGAAATGTCCAAAGCTGTGCCTCCTTCCATGCCCGCAACCTCACTCTTCACCAATCTCTCCGCTGCGGTTTTCACTGGCGATAGCTGGAAACTAGTTGTTCCGGCAGGACTGTATACTTTATCAAACTCCCTGGTGTATATCGGGCTCTCCAACCTCGAAGCCGCCACCTTCCAGGTTACATACCAATTGAAAATAGCCACAGCAGCAGTCTTCGGCGCCATGTTTCTCAGACGGAGTTTATCTGTTGGAAAGTGGACGACACTATTCCTACTGATCGCAGGCGTATTTATCATCCAGCTACCACACACGGATCCCAATGACATCGACGACCACCGAGCGCACGTGCATTTCCCACGCTCGCTGGAAGACTGGCAGAATCTGTGTGCCTCCACTGACCGGAACTTGCGTCAGAACCTTCACAAACGCTCCGCCACCTACGAAGGAATCGAGGAGGATCTGATGCTGGGACATCCGCGCATGAATGGAAACATCGGGCTGTTCGCTGCCATTGGCGCTTGCATCGCGTCTGGTTTAGCAGGAGTATCCTTCGAAAAAGTACTGAAGGATAGTGCCACGTCTACCACGTCTGTATCGATACGCAACGTCCAACTAGCGGTCTATTCGATATTCCCCTCTTTGTTTATCGGCGTGGTGTTCCTAGATGGCGAGAAGGTGGCGCGCGCTGGATTCTTTGACGGCTACAATTGGGTTGTGTGGCTCGTTATTGCACTGCAGGCCGTGGGCGGAATTGCGACATCGTATTGCATTTCGCGCGGAGAACATGGCTTGCGGAATTCGGCGTCAGGGATTAGTATTGTGCTCAGTGCTGTCGGGGCGATATGGGCTTTTGATTTTAGGATGAGCGGGAATGTGGGTAGCTCCATATCCCTTGCTTTTTGTTTGCCCCACCCTTCTCGTGAAAATACATACTAACAACAAACCGAAAAATGAAAAACAGTTCATCGTCGGCACCATCCTCGTCCTGGCGGGCACATATGTCTACACTCAACTCTCTCATCCAAATATGCAGCACCAAAAACACAGCAACCGGCCCCCACCAATCCGCATCAACAACTTTGAAAAGCTCAGCGGCCTAGGCATGGAAAATGATAATAACAATAACATGGCCAGCACCTCATCATCAACAGACGTAGATGACAAGAACCTCTACCATAACGCCGACAACTCCCACCTCACGCCACACAACGACTTCTCTATAAAACTGACCACCACGCCAAGTTTATCTGAGTCAGCAGCGCTAACAACATCCAGACCTGGCTCGCCGGGCCAGACCAGGTTGAAGGGATCATATTTTGCACAGAGGGGAAGCGGTTGAAATATTTTCCACTCCTTCCCCCAGCCCTGGCCCGCAAGCGAGGTGGTAGGGGAGGGGGAGGACTCTCTTTCCCCGAAGCAGTTTGGAAGTGGTCGCGTGGGCAGATTGGATAGAAGGGAACGAAAATAAGGAAAGGAACAATGTATGCTGCGAGAGATAATCGGGAGTTTTCCCTTTCCCTTTTTTTTTTTTTTTTTTTTTTTTGGCTTCCCCATCCCGCCGTTGAAATTATATTAAATTTCACATTTTTATGCAAAACAACCTGTGGTTCAGCTTATTATTATTTTTTTTTTTTTTTCAGGTTATTTTTATTTTTACTTTTTTTGCTCATAAGATTGGGATGAAGGGGCGTTTATACCACTTACCTATCTACTGCACATCTTGTGTTTCCCGATTGTTATGCAATCTCTTCTATTTATTCCTCACCCTTTTAATCTTTCTATGTTACTGGGTAACAATTCGCATGGCAGACACCTTCCGATGACACGCTTGTCTATTCTTCTTTCCATAGGTTTTTATTTATTTTGGGATGGGGATGGCGGGGGAGAATTTCTTGATTTGAAATTTTGTGACTGGTAAAGAAACAACATTTGAGCTACTTTGCTCTTCCTGGGCGAGGCTGTCTTCTCCTTTCTATTTCTGTTCCTTTCATCTTTATTGCCGCCACTCGTTACGTGAGTGGTTGATTTTCACAGTGGGAATGAAGTTGACACGGGAAATGCGACTACTTATGCATTGGAGGCCAATTGAATGTTCAATAGGGGATCATTAAGGCGTATTAGAATTTAGGTAAGTTAACTTGATTTTATTGCCTTCCCTTTGCATTTCCTAACCTTTTGTTTCTTTTTGCTATCTCCAGAGCCTTGTACTAATACTAACAGGCTAGTTGATAGTTGATATGCACATGTACGGAGTACCTTCCATATACTTGCACTGATGGGGTAGACGAGGGCGACCGGTCACGTGACTATGAGTCCCCTTTCCACCTTAACTTTATTCTAACCTCAATTTATTTTTCAGATCTTAATTCAACGGCATGTCATGGTGGAATTTGTCTCAATTTACCATTTCCTCCTATTTCCCGTACATCATGGTTAGAATGAATGCTGTGGTGGAATGAGGTTTTCGCTTCGGATTTCATGCTAATTGTATCCATATGGAGGTGATTCCTTTGATTGACGCTGAGATGCCCCCGTTCTTTGCAATGGCTCCTGAATGAATTCATGGTGTAGACGACCATCTCGCTTTTCTCCCTTGCTGTACTGTTCACATTCATATGTGGCGTTGTTTTCTACGCTCTCTAGACTGGCTCAATCTTCGTTTCACAAGTGGCCTGAAAAATAGGGGTTTGATCTAAACCATGGATGACTCGAAGAGAGACACTACAAGTTTCCGTCGTCTTATAAGTGCTTTCAAAAGCCCCACTGCTTCAGCCTCTTCTTCATCGTCTATATCTTCCCCTTCCCCTTCCTCTGTCCCCTCTTTCAAACCCTTTACCGTTCCCCTTCCAAATCCGAGATGGAAGAGGCAACAGGCTCAGTCGACCAGGCCTAGGTATAATGTCAATACCAGAGATATTGCTGCTACAGCGGTTAGCTCTCAATTATTTTCAAGGCGCCCTCGGCAGGAAACACGGCCTCTGGGCATTTCGATTGTGCCAGAGCTGGGTTTGGATGATCAGAATCAAGATTTGCCGCTGGATGCCTTTGGTTTGCAATCCCTACTCCCCCCTCTTCATCTTTTTTCAATGCTGCTTTTTAATACTTACGCTCTGCGGCGGTGATGACTAAATCATGGTACCTATTGAAGATCAGGAGCTATTAGCTCAATTGGAAAATGAGAATGAACAGCGTCAAAATGGCGCCGAAACCTATGAGCAGGGTGAAGAATCGGTTGATTTATATGGCCCCACCTTAGGTCTAGCGCGGCCGCAAAATCGATCGAAATTTTTTCAGCGCAGTAGGGACCTCTTTCTTTCATCGCTGTCTTGAGATATTCTGCGATGATAGGAGTGTGCTCATCTGCAATCTTTACTAACTGTCTAGATGCAACTGCGATGGATACTCCTATTCGCGACCGCATCTCTAGTTCGATTGATGTTGGACCTTTTTCTAGCCCATCGCTTGCGGTAAATGCGCGAAAAAGACTACCTCTATTCATCCAGGATGATGTCCAAAGTGATTGCCAAGCACCTAATCAGCCCCTTTTCTCATCCAATACAACCTCCTCTCAAGGGTCATTGACACAACATGGCCTTTCACCCTCACCTCTTAAAGCTAGGGGAATCCAATTGGATCATGCACCGCCCATGATACAAGGAATCCAACTTGTATCTACGCATGAGTTGCCGGATCGCTTCCGTTCGGTTTTCCCTTTCCCATTTTTTAATGCTATACAGTCCAAATGCTTTCGTCCTATCTACCAAGGAGACAGCAATTTTGTCCTCTCGGCCCCAACTGGAAGTGGAAAAACCGCAGTTATGGAACTGGCTATCTGCCGTCTTGTGATGAATTTCAAGGACTGCCGGTTCAAGGTAGTTTACCAGGCGCCCACCAAGTCTCTATGCTCAGAGAGGTACCGTGACTGGCAACACAAGTTCTCTTCCTTGGACCTCCAATGTGCCGAACTTACTGGTGATACTGACCATGCACGGTTACGTAATGTACAAAATGCCAATATCATCATTACAACTCCTGAAAAATGGGACAGCATGACACGGAAATGGAAGGACCATATTAAACTAATGCAACTCGTAAAGCTGTTTCTTATTGATGAAGTGCATATTCTGAAGGAAACTAGGGGAGCCACACTGGAAGCTGTGGTATCACGAATGAAATCTGTCGACTCCAATGTTCGATTCGTTGCACTCAGTGCCACTGTCCCAAACTCTGAGGATATCGGGGCTTGGCTAGGTAAGGATCCTACTAACCAGCATCTCCCTGCTCATCGTGAAAGGTTTGGCGAAGAATTTCGGCCTGTGAAACTGCAGAAGTTTGTGTATGGCTATCATAGCAACGGCAATGATTTTGTCTTTGATAAAGCCTGTGAGGCGAGGTGAGGGGATAGCCTTTAGTTTCCGTTGCCCTCTTTCTTTTCGCTTCAATGACTGATCTGAGGCTCTAGACTCCCCGAAGTCCTGGAGAAACATTCAAAAAAGAAGCCGACCATGATATTTTGTTGTACTCGAAACTCTGCGATCGCGACTTCAAAATATTTGGCCAAACTATGGACATCAATGAATCCGCCTAATCGCCTATGGAACGGGCCAACCAGACCTGTTGCAGTTCAAAATCTTGAATTGGGAGGTATGTAAAGTACATTTCCCTTCCCTTGTTAATTTATTATCTCTGAGGTGATTTAACTGATATCCTGAGAAATCCAAGCAACCATTTCCGCTGGTGTGGCATTTCATCACGCTGGCCTCGATGCCTGTGACCGCCATGCTGTCGAAAACGGGTTCCTCTCTGGACAAATCAATGTGATTTGCTGTACGTCGACATTGGCAGTGGGCGTAAACCTTCCCTGTTATCTTGTGATTATAAAAAACACAGTTTCATGGCAAGATAATTGCTGCAAAGAGTACCCGGATCTCGAAATGATGCAGATGCTTGGACGGGCAGGAAGACCTCAGTTCGACGGCAGTGCAGTTGCTGTTATTTTAACAAGGAAGGAAAGGTTAGATTACTATGAGAAGCTTGTTGCTGGAACGGAGCATCTAGAAAGCTGCTTACATCTAAAGCTGATCGATCACCTGAATTCGGAAATTGGCCTTGGGACAGTTACGGATGTTGAGTCTGCTATGAGATGGCTTGCAGGGACGTTTTTCTTCATTCGTCTCCGGAAAAACCCTGCTCATTATAAGTTGAAAGAGGGTGCAAATAGGTCAGACGAAGAAGAGATGCTGAAGGAGATCTGCGAGGAGAATATCAAGCGGCTGCAAGAATGTTCACTTATCACTTCGGAGGAACCTTTGAGATCGACAGAATTTGGGGACGCGATGGCTAGGTATTACATCAAATTCGAAACCATGAGATTATTCCTCTCCTTGCCACCCAAGGTGAAGATGTCTGAAATTGTAAGTCGAGTAATTCTATACTCTATTCTAATCTCGTATTCTAATCAAATTTAATTGGGTAGCTCTCTGTCATCGCACAGGCCGATGAGTTTAGCGAGATTCGATTAAAAGCTGGAGAAAAGTCGTTATACAAGGAACTAAATAAGGGAAACGGCATCAAGTTCCCTATTAAAATTGACATTGCCCTCCCCGCGCATAAAGTATCTCTACTTATTCAGTCCGAGCTTGGCGGCGTCGAAATCCCCACTGGCGACCAGTATCAAAAGCACAAGTTATCGTTTCAGCAAGACAAGGGATTGGTATTCTCCCACGCAAGCCGACTTATTCGATGCATAACAGATTGCCAACTATCCCTTCAAGACTCGGTGAGCACGAGACATGCCCTTGAGCTTGCTCGGGGTATTGGCGCCAGGGTCTGGGACAACTCCGCATTGCAGATGAAACAGATCGAGCAAATCGGCATCGTGGCTGTCAGGAAATTTGCTAATGCTGGTATCAGTAGTATTGAGGCTCTCGAGGCGACGGAGGCATCTCGGATAGATATGTTGTTGAGCAAGAATCCGCCTTTTGGCTCGAGAATTTTGGCTCGTGTTGCAGAATTTCCGAAGCCTAGGGTTTCTGTCAAATTAGTGGAGAAGGTAAGGGTTTTTGTTTCTGCTTTGGACAAGAGAAGAAGTGTATATTCGAAGTATATATTCGTACATACTAATAGTTTCGAGTAAGGATGTCAAACCTAGGAAATCTGTACGGTTATGCTTCAAAGCAGAAATCGGATTTATTAACGAAAAGGTCCCCACATTTTTCCGTCGGAAGCCCATTTATGTCTGTTTCCTTGCAGAGACTTCGGATGGACGATTGATAGATTTCAGGCGTATTAGGTGCAGCCTCACAAAATCCGTGTTCACAAAGGCACGCATTCTCAGTACCGTAGCTAACTGATCTATGGAAAGTGCAACCAAATTACAGAACGGCCATGATGTCTTGCTGAGCGCTGAATTGATTGACGTTTATCAGTATATATCATGCTTCGTTATGTGTGATGACATTGGTACGACTGCCACCAGGTTATTTTCGTTCTTTCCATCTTTTAACACTTATTAACTATGTTCAGCGGGGACACTTCGTCAGGCAGAGCTTAGGCATGATATTCCAGCCTCACAATTCCCAGCGAAGCAAACAGAAACTCCCCATGGCAAAAACGATTTGAATCCCACGATGAACACATCAAGGAGAGGCAATAGTGATGTCACCAAAAAGGGGTCAAAAAGCCGGAGAGATATTGATGAGTTCGAGGATGACGGTCTCGATGACACGGATCTGATCGCAGCAGGTATGGGCCTGATAAGTGGGGCACAATAATTTTTCTGACTCTGACCGTGCGGCATATAGCTGAGGATATGGATTACCACTCAATTGATGAGTCGGACGGAAACGGCGATCCCGTTCATGCATTAATTTCAACCCGGGAAACAGCATCTAGCCGCGACATCAAGGAATCACACACCAACAAGTCAGTGGAACCGGTTCGACTTGGAAATGGGAATTGGGCTTGTAACCATCGCTGTAAGGATAAAACTAAGTATGTCTCACTACTTATACATGCTATACATGCACGATCTGCAACCAGCCTATCCTGACCAAATCCAGGTGTAAGCACTTATGTTGTCGGGATGGAACCGACCGACCGCCAAAACCGAGCAAGAAACAAGAGTCTGCATCCAATACTTTAACGAAGGCAACTACTACTTCGAACGCACCTCGGGATATATCTGAGTGGACAAGGACTCAAGGGTTTTCGAAACAGCAGAACAGAAATAACAAGCGAAAGTGGGATGTTGAAATTGTTGACCTGTGCGATGATAGCGATATAAATACCAGACCTAACACAGCCGCCACGACCATCTGTTCTAAAAAAGGCACAAGCGCCCAAAGGCAGAGTTGTATCGAAGATAGTGTAGGAAAAGCGGCATTAAAAATCAAAAAGTTTTCTCCAACGTCATATCCGCTCGCTAAGCAGAGCCCATTATGCCTATCGTTCCTCGATGAGGACGAATTTCGCGAACCGAACACTCCGTTCGGAAAAAGAGGATATTCTACTGATTCTAGAAATTCCTTGGTTGATGATCTTCCGTCTCCTAATACCTTGTTGCTTTCATGCCTGAAGAAGGGGAAAGAAAAAGACAACGCAGATTTTGACGTCCTTGAAGATAATGAGGAGGTGTCATTCCATGCGCTAGGTGATGGAGACTGTGATGGTAAAACCATTTCTCCTCTACTTCCGATGAAAACTGATAGAACGACACATATTCAGGATGATATCAGTGATAAACATACGTCGAGCCCAGAGAAGTCCTCGACCACAAATGCTTCCCTTCTATCGCCATCAGTGACGAAGCCAAGAACAAACGACTCTCCTGCGACTGATGGCACACTTAATACCATTTTGTTCCCATTACCTGACCCCAATTCTGTCGTACTCCATGTCGAAAGCTCTGATCCAGACGATTTAATATTCGTCAATAATCATACTTTCTACAACAAGGAATATGACTTCCAGTCATTGTCACATGCAAAACGCCCGTACAATACAGCAGTTGGCAGTGGCTACATGGCTAATGATGATGATTATGGCAATGATATCGAAAATCCTAAATCGAATAAAATATGCAGGTATGAGTCTGCAGACACAGGCACTGCGGTTATTTCACCTCCTCTCAGCACAGCTATTAATTTCGACCATATTCCTACTAGGTATGAGAAATCTACTATAGGTAATAAGGAAGAGAGTCATAGGACGACACAAGGTGATGGTACCACCGGTTGGGAAGGGGTCGATATATCGCTCCTCGAAGAGTTTAAAGACGTTGTGGAGTTCTTTTAAGCACTGAGAGAGGGCAGTAGGGTGTTTTATTTCATTATTGTGGAGGCAAAGCAAATGGAGAGAAAAATGCGGAGGGGTTGTTGGTGCTTAGCATGGAATAGGAACTTTTTTTCTTACTTTTTTTTGCTATTTGATCAGATGTGATGAGGGACGATACGATACGATACTTGTGTGGAAGGGCATCCTTATACAGTCATTTCCTTTTGTGTTGTTCTTTATTCGTCATCACTTATTATATAGAATAGGATTTTTTCTTCAATGGGTACTAATTATTTAGCATCATTCAATTCGTTTTAGCATCATAGTGTATTCTAGGATGGAATGGGGGTGCATGGATCTTTAAATGTCAATATTTTATTTAAACCCTGCATATTTTGATATTTAACATGGGACAGATTGATTTTGGTAATTTCATGTAGATTTTATTAACCCCCAGTTTTATGAACTATAAATTCTTTAACTGATTGTCACTTGTTGAGAGATGGGGTTGATGAATTGAAAAGTTTAAGGACCAAACCCATGGTTGAAATGAACAATGCATCCAGTCAGAATGCCCTGTGTTGATGATATTGCGTGTGATGGGCAACGGCGAATAATAAACAAAGACATGACAACCTGCAGTGACATAAATGTTGCAAAGAGAGTTTGCATATAATTATTTTCGCCTTTATTCCATACAGCTCCATGCCTTTCTCATGGCACTTTATTTCCTTTGGCGATCTCCATCCCAGGTCTATTTATTCAACTATTGCATGGCTCGCACACTTGCATGACTTTCTCGTACCATTATCCAGGATTTGACAGGAACAGCGCGCCTAGAGAGATTGACGAAAGAGGATCGAGGTAAACAAAATTTCATCGGCAGGTAAACTGGTCATGACAGTCCTTGTTGCGTTTGTACGAGAAACACCATAACCTGTCTTTCCCTGAGAAGGGAACAAGGAGGCTGCGTACATAAGACTCCAAGAGTATCGATTTCACAAGTCAGAGATGCTGATCCTCATTTCCGTACAGACAGCAGTAGGGACGAAATCGTTCGTTGACCACAGCTACATACGATGGTGAAGCTGAGCTATACAGGAGTGAGTAAAGCAATCTATATCGGGTTATGCATTTACAAGGATGGGTTCTGATAGCTGAAACATGAAACAGCGGAAAGTCCAGGGATTGAAGGCTGGACAGGCAGTGTCGAAAGATCTTGTATAATACTCCTATTTCTGCCAAAGCTGGTTTAGAAAAATGCAACCGGAGAGATGCCTAATATATGAATAATAGAAAAAAAGGATTCCTCCCGGACTCGGATCAAGGGCTGCAGCCAGAGATCCTCACGTTGAAATCGATCTGACAGGAAAAGAACTCACTGATGAGGGATTTGCTGCCTTAATTGACGATCTTATAAACTGTATCCAGTATCGCGACAAGCAGCACCCCAATGGAATTGTCCGGTTGACTGAGCTTGTGCTCAAGGGGAATGCGTTGACTGTGGCTTCCATGAGGAAGCTGGGCCAAGTTGTTGCACTCAGCAGTGACTGTTTAGCACAGCTGGACATCTCAGATAATCAAATTTCTGTTTCTTTTCGGGAAGAGAGGGAGTCCTGGCAGGCTTTCTTGGAGTCATTTCAAGGATGTTATGTCCTGAGAAAGGTTGATTTCAGCAACAATCCTCTCGGGGGAGCGGGATTTGATGTGCTTGCTAGAGTATATGCGCACAGTGATTTGGATTTTATCGAACCCCTGGCCAATAGGACTTCGCAGAATCAGGCCGATCCTGATGCAGTTGACGCTCTCAGGAAAGAGGCGGATGTCGTCGTACTTGGCGAAGAGAAAGAGAACAGGAAACCACCAAGTCAAGTTGCGAATGTAGAAAAAGGACATGAGGTCCACCAAGGTACGACACCAGCGCATTCTGTTAACTTCAACGAGCTAATAATGAGTTCAAGATTCATCGAAAGTCTGGGGTTCTCAGGTTGATTGGCACGGAGCCCAGCCAACAGACAATCTGAATTATAGGAGCACGAGAGGCCTTCGATCGGTGCCATATCTAATTTTCTCGAATTGCTGCACGACAAATGCTTGTGCGTTTCACTTATGGGCTATCATCCTTTCGCACCGCCGGCCTGATACGCTCCTGGAGTTCCTCCCGCCTGGTAAATCGGTGATACCGGCAGAGAAGACTAACCTAGTGAATGGCATTGTATACACACCTAATGAAAAATTAAGTGAACTCGGAAGAAGACTACTTGAACTGGGAAACGAGTATCGTGTGCAAGAGTCCGACACTGACGCAGAAGAAACAGAATCTCAAGGCTTCGACAGTGAGTTTAGAGAGTCCGATATCGCAAAGTATAGGGAGCTACGCAAAAAACACGAGATCGAAATGGAACGAGTGAAGAATCGCTTGCTTCTGGACATTTTTAGGACCGACGGTCCAGCAATTGCCGATATTTGGAGCACAGCATTCAAAATGATGAGGGTTGCTCGTGCAATCTTGCTCGACGATGGCACTAAGCTGAAACCGTCTGTTACACTCGAGGATAAGAAATTAATGGAACCGTGCCTGACAAATGAAAATCTGACAAGCGACGATCCAATAAACCAACACCCGAAAATCGAAAACCCGAAAAATGGCTGTTGGAATCGGAACCCATCCGCGCAACGAAGCGAAAGTTTCCTAGAAGATTTCCCGACTATTCAAGAATCACTGGAAGGATATAGCAGAGAGGGATTGGCTCCAACCTGGGAAGAAACTCTTCGACAAGATGTAGGAAACTCGACGAGTCGCAAGATTCCTAGGAGTCGCAAAGATTCAATGGCTGGGGCCAAGAAGCAACCCGCAAAGGCTGAAGTCAAGTTTGATATTGGTAGATTTGGGTTGCCAATGGACATATGGGGGAGGGTCATTGCGGACGCCATGGGCTGTTCTAAGTTATTGACAGTAGAACAGCAGATGAGAGTGCTTCGGTACGCATCCGACTGGGATGCAATCAAGCAGGAACTGCGAATTAGCGGGGGCACAGAGTTTGAACAGATATGGAAGATCTTGAGCTCGATGAGATGTTTGAGTTACACCCATCATTGACACATAAACACCAGTCATAAACGAACTCAATCAATTCCAGGTGGGAAGGCAAGGTTTTCGGATTTAGGTGAATGAATATAAATACTACTAGTGCTTAATGACACATAAGCGGCGGAATAACCCCTAAAGAGATAGTAATTATGGATATCCAAGGGGAAATAATGGCAGCACATGTAGTAAATGGCATACATTTGGTTGATGACGGCGCGGTAAGATCAGAGGTCATAATTGCCGTTTCGGGCGGCGTCTCCGAATCCACGTGATTTTGCCGACTGATAGACGCCCTGGTCCCTTTCAATATCGATAATAATCAATAATTCTACATTAATTCCAACATTGCATTGCCCCATTTTGGGCTGAAGATTGGGGATCTTTCATGTACGCTTGCTAAACCGAAAGGCAGGTTGATGCTTTGTGTATACGTTTAAGCCGCGCATACTAGTATGGCCAGAACAAAAAGCGGCTCAGGAGCGAAAGCACAGCCTGCACTCGAAGATCCCACAGTTGCGCCTTCGACCTTCAACGATGGATTTCCTTTGCCGAAACTTTTCGTTTTCGACCTAGATTATACGTTATGGCCATTTTGGGTCGACACCCATGTTAGTCCTCCTCTTAAAGCAAAGGATAATAACTCGCGATGCGTTGACAGGTATGGCCTTATCTATGTCGCTTTCCCAGCCCCAGTATCTCGCTCGCGTCACAGATTGAACGTGACTTACCTGTAGTAGGTAATGACTTATCGCATCTTACCGGCGACTGACTTCTGATTTGTTTGATTCTGGGTTTGTTACAGGTGGGGTGAATCTTTCGCATTTTACCCCGCCGTATCCTCTATCTTGCATGCGTGTCGTTCGCGATCCATACCCATAGGGATTGCGTCGAGGACGTACGCTCCAGACATTGCTCGAGATATGCTTAAAACATTACATATCATACCATCGTTCTCGGATAAACCCACGGCAGCCAATAATCGCTCTGTCCGTGCTCTGGATTATTTTGATTATGTTCAGATTTTCCCTGGGGATAAGTCGCAACATTTCTCGCGAATACATCAAGCAAGTGGAATACGATATGAAGATATGTTGTTTTTTGACGATGAAGCAAGGAATAGAAATGTGCAGACGGAATTGGGAGTTTCGTTTTGCCTGGTAAGAGATGGGATGACACGTGAAGAGGTGGATCGTGGAGTCTGGGACTGGAGAAAAAAGTTGAACATTCAGGCTGGGGATAAAGACCAAGAAGTAGAAGTCGAATAGGGGAAGCTATTTGGATATTGTGTATTCTGTATAGTTACATGATGATATATTTTTGATATCCGATTTGGCATCTGGTAAATGTAAATGCTCGCCTGATATTTTGTTTTCTTCCTTCATATTTTTCATATATATCCTCACCTTCTTATAAAGTATTTACATTTAATAAATATACTAGCAATACCAGTACTTGGTAATATCTCGAACTTTTATAAAAACGTAACAGTTGCGAAGTTGTTTCTATTCTGACGTCGACGTCCATAAGAGGCGGTTCCATGCTTATCGATTAAGACATCCTTACCCCAAACCTGCTGACTTACGGTTGTCCTCCCCAACATCTTTCGTACCTTAAATCAACATCTTGTTGTCAACCTACGAACAATTATACAACAACAATAATGTCCGCGAACCAAATTCACAGGCACTCTTCCTCCCGCCATTCATCCTCACAAAAACCTACTAGCCCAAGCTATAAACCGCCCTTAACAACACATCCTTCCGCAACTATCTCGGAATCAGTGAGCTTCCAGGGCACCCATCCCATTTCTATCGGTGCAGGCACCGTCATACACCCGCGAACCAAATTCGTCTCCTTCGAAGGGCCCATTAAAATCGGAAGTGGTTGCATTATAGGTGAAAAATCCATAATTGGTGGCCCTCAAACTTCTCCAACCCCCTTGACACCAACAACACCATCAACTTCTATAACACCTACAGCAACAACCATAGCCACTGTTGTGGAAAACTCTGTTCTTATCGGTCCCCTTGTTACCATTAGTGCTGGCACCCACATTTCCTCTGCTGCAACAGTCGACACTGCTGCTATCCTGGGCCAGCGCGTGCGTGTCGCTCAACACGCGAAGGTTTGTCCCGGTTGCTGCATTCCGGACGACGGTGTGGTTGACGCTTGGGTTGTGATATGGGGTGGTACTGGTAGTGGGAATAGGCTACAGAGACGGAAAAGAGCGAATGGGCAACAACAGCAGCATGGCGATGAGGCGGTGCCTTGGTTCGGGTTAGGGGGAACGGTTGTGGAAAAGGGCCGGCTGGCAGTCCTGGAGAAAGAGAGGGAAGGGTTGACTAATCTGATTGGAGCAGTGAACATTGGTGGCGGAGCGAGGAGGAAGTGAGCTTGGAATTTTTATTGGTGTAGGCATTTTTTACTTTTGATTCTTTGGAGAGCGTACGATGATGCTCGCTTCGACTTTGCTTTGCGATTTAGCGTCCTGATACCCTCGAGAATACCACTGTTTCTTCTGCACTTTAAACAATACTATAGCCAGGAGCATGGGGAAAAAGGAATCCAAGAAGGCTCATGAACATGCTTTTTGATCCGAATAGTGTACATACACAACAAAGTAGATATGGACAGAAATATCGTCTGATTTATTCCTCGCTCCGCAAGTGCAGATCAAGAAGAACCAAAAAGAGTATTAAACACAAAACAAAACGCTGGTGTAGAACCTATAGTGGTAGGAAAAAAGACAGGAGAGGAAAGAAAAACAAAGAACGATCCCAGGTTTTAAAAAAGACATAACCCATGAAGAAAAAAAAGGAATGATAGGCATACAAAGGAAAATCAATGATTTCTAGGATGAAACAAGGTATAACGTATCCACAGGCTTAGGATCCGGCACCGCCTCCGCGAATTCTCTTCCCGCTTCCGCTATCACTACCTTCCCCACCATCATCTCTGGCTCGCTTGTTGCCCTGGGGAATGAACTGACGAGCTTGGGCATTGAATGCACCACGGCCTTCTCTGGGACTGGGTTGGCTTTGTCCCTGGGGTAGATTGCTGGTCTGAACATTTTGAGCGCCACCACGACCCTGAGCACCGCGGCCCCGAGCGCCGCCACGGGGTAAACCAGAGCCTCGACCTATGGCCTGTTGCTGTTGAAGTGGTTGACCTTTACCTTGCTGCTGGGTAGCTTGAGGGCCGAACGGATTATGTGGTTGGCTGGATGGCCCTCCTCGTCCTCTACCACCTCGAGCAATTGGTAACCCAGATTGGAGAGCACGAAGTACGCCCGGACCAGTGCCAATTGCTGGATGATGATTGCTCTGCGGAGGCCTGTTAGGGAGAGACGACGTAGCCTGGGACTGGTTGAGTTGTTGAGCGGGAGATGGTTGATTAGATGTACCTGGCTGCGAATGTTGTTGTTGCTGCTGTTCCGGCTGCTGTTCCGGCTGCTGTACGGGCTGATGCTGCTGTGCTGGCTGCTGCTGCTGTTGAGAGGCTTGTGCAGGAGCCACCTGCGTGGGTTTCGGGCTTCCAACAGTAGGTGCCCGTTGAGCAGGGGCAGGAGATGGAGACGGTTGTGGTTGAGCTAGTTGAGGTTGTATCTGCGTTTGCGAATGAGTAGTTGGTGTCTGTGGGGTCGGGCTTGGAGGGTGAGCCGGAGATTCGGTTCGTGTTGATTTTAGAGCTGGTGATTGGATTTGTTGCGGTTGGATTTGAACAGTTGGTGGTTGGGCTGCCACAGCTACCGGCGCTGGTCGCGTAACCTTAGCAATCTCCCAAACTTCAACAACAGGTCTTTGTGGCGTTTCAACGGCGGCCTTCTGCAGGACTTCAAGTTTTGCCTGCGCATTTCTCGCGCGTCCCTCCGTCATGCTAAGTTTCGCCAACAACTTTTTCTCTGCCAGCTCAACAGCAGAGCCAATCTTCTGGTCTCGTTCTTTAATAATTGCATCCCTCTCTTCACTGAACTTTTTCTCCAGCTCCTTAATGGCGTCTGCATCTGGTGTAGCTGCAATCTGGGCTTCTTTGTTCGCCATGGCCGCTCTTTCTTTTGTGACCGCATTCTTGATGTTGTTTCGAACGATAGCCCTGATCGTCTCGTTTTTAGCAACAAGCTCCCTTGCCTGAGCATCAGTAAGTTCAGGAACGCCGTCTGGTTTAGTAGCCGATGAAACCGCAGATTCTAGTTCTTGTTGGTGGCTCGCTTTCAGCTTTTCAACTTCTTCTTTGTGAAGTGTTTTGTACTCAGCAAGTTTGTTATTTAGCGTCTCCTTCATTTTATCAACCCGCTCCTTGACCTTGTGATCAATTGTCGCTTCCTTTTCAGCAAGCGCAGCCTCTAGTCTTTGGATTTTTTCTTCAAGGGCTTTAATTTTCTCAACATTGGCAAAATCATTCGTTGGGGGCATTGTTGGCTGCGGAGCAGGCGGCTGTTGCGCATCCGTTACGTTTTGGCTTACGGCGACGGGAGCGGGGACAGGAGCGGGTACCCCATCATCTGTTGGTAACTTCGCCTTTAGGGCATTGAGGTCTTCCTTTGTGCGGTCCAATTCGAGTTGGATAACTTCCTTTTCCTGAATTGCTGTATTTAACTCCACTTGCTTGGCTTGAATTCGAGAAGATAGCTCCTTCGATCTCGCTTTAAATTGGTCTGTGAGGGTTGAGCGCATGGTTTGAATTCGTTCCTCTCCCTGCTTGACCTGGGTTGACAATGATGTTACCTGCGCCTGATGTTCATCTCTAGCGGAAACAGCTTCGTTACGCTCCTTTTCTAATGCAACAAGCTTCTCCTTGAGCGCCTCCATTTCCACAGGATCAACACGATCATATTTTTGCAGAATATTTTGAGTCCGTTGCTGCCATCTGTCCCTATCTTCCTGTAGCAGTTTAAACTCTCCGTCCTTCGTTTCCACAATGTTTTCTAATTCGCGGATACGAGTTTCTAGTGGACCAATGCGTTGAGTTAGTTCTTCTACACGAGCAGACTTCTCTGCTAGAGCAGCTTCCGCTTGTTTTGCTTGATTCCTGAGGGTGACACTACTCTCCCGGAAGAGATTTAGTTCATTGAGGGTATCCATTAGCTTTTTGTGGTTCAACATATTATGTTCAGAATCAGCTTCCGCGCGACGCTGTTGTTCAAGCTTAAGACGGGTATCATCAAGTTGAGATTGTGCGTAGTCGAGTTGCTGGCGGAGGCGTTTGGCCTCCTGCGTTGACAAATGATATTGAACATCAACAATTTCTTTTTCCCTTCTCAGGAATTTGATAACCTCCTGTAGTCCTTCTAGGCTAGATGAGGACGACCCAGTCTCATCGGCTTCTTCTGGCATACTCTCCTTATCGCGCTGGAGAGTTGAAATTTGCCGGGTAATGTTTTCAAGCTGCTGATGAAGCAGAGTATTTTGATTTGCGACCTCCTCGCGACGTCTATTAAGCTCCGTTATTTCTCTTTCGTATCTACCCTTCATTTCATTCCAGTTTTCCTCCTCTCTTAGAAGGTTGTTTTTGGCGGATTCGGCTTGGGTTCTTAAGTCGACTACCTCAAGTTTAAGCTCACTAGCTTCTGCTCTAACCATCTGGAGATTTTTGGCTGCTTCGGCATGTTTCACAAGCTCATTTTCGTAATTTTGTTGAGCATGCTGGGCAATTTCTGCTTGTGCTTTAAGGTCTTGTTGATGGTACTGAGCGGCTGCAGCGTATCGCTCGTCTTGCTCCTTGAGCCTAGAAATTTCGGCCTCCAGCATTGACTTTTGGTCGTCAAACCGGCGTTGGGAGTCAGCTTCCTGGTCACGAAGTTTCGATAATTCATCATTAGTCATAGCAAGTTCTGATGTAATTTCTTCGACACGCTTTTGCAGTTCGGATATTTTCCCATCTTTCTCTTCAAGCAAGCGATTAGTATCTTCTTGGTATTGTTCATTTGTATCAGTAACGGACTGGAGACGCTCCTCAGTGGATTGGCTGATGGCCTTATAATCCTCCACCTGTTCCTTCGCGTGTTCGAGTTCAGATTTTGCCAACTCAAGATCCCGCTTTAATTCGGAAACTTCAAAGGCCAACTCTTGCTCTCGACTTAGCCCACCCTCATCCACGGCTGCGTTGGGTTCGGTATCGGGAGGAGCGGGAGGAGCAGCGGCAGTCGCGACGATAGGTTTTCGTTGCAAAACTTCCAATCTTTCTTCCGCACTCTTAAGCTCAACCGATAGCTCGTCAACTCTTGACTGCAAATGGTCACGAGTGGATTTTGTGTTGATGAGATCCTCACGGACTGCGCTAAGGCTGGTAATCAAATCGTCAATTCTCTTTTGATTTTGGCTATTTTCGTACTCCCTCCGTAGCGTTGATTTCTTAGCTTCCTCCATTTCCTCGTTGAGTTTTCGCTTGGTAGTTTGTAATTCGGATTCTAAATTCTCAACGGTTGACTGAAGGCGTCGGCGACTTTCCGATTCTAAGTGCTCCCGTTCATTCAACATGGATTGGAGGTTGGCATTAAGAGAGTCGAGACGAGCACGTTCGTTGAGCAGGGACTCATTGTCCTCCATCAATCGCTTCTCAATTTTTTTCCAGAGCTCCTTCTCCGCTTTTAGGTTTTCCGTTTCTCGTCGCTGACTATCAACAAGTCCCCTTGCTTCCACCAGGTCCTCTGCAACTTGTTGAGTCCTTAAGTCTTGTTTGTTCGCATTTTCCATCAGAATAGCGTGCCGTTTCTGAAGCTCAACATTTTCTCCCTTAAGTAAATTGAAGTTGGACTGAAGAAGCTCGGCGCGTTGCACAGCAGCGGCCAATTGGCTATTCGAACGACTGATTTCACTTTGTAACTCACTATTTTTCCTCGTAAGATCGTTGACTTGCTGTTTCAGAGAGGAATGGTCCGTTGCTGTTTCTTGCCGGAATGAATCAAAGTTAGCTTGCAATTTTCGTAAAAGTTCCGTATAGTCTGGATTTTCTTGGGATTGCGCGACGGCATCACCAGCAGCAATCGGGGCGGCTGTGCCCAAAGGCAGAGACTGTGAGAAGGGATTCGTAGATTCTCCTGTTTCTCGGCGACGTGTAAGCATGCTGCGGAACGTGTCTCTTTCTTTGATGTAACTCTTTGTTTGGGCGATAAGGTTTGCCATTTCATCCCTATATGTTTGTACCCTAACACGTAACTCCTTTAGTTCCTCTTGATCCTTCTGGTAAGATTCACTCTTCCGACGAGCCTCCTCTCCCTCCATTTTATCACCAAGATCCCGGAGCATCCTCCGTAGCGTGACATTTTGCTGTTGGAGTTCGTTCACATTTTTGAATGTCGTTAAGTGGAGAGTGATAAAACGGCCAGTTTCATTCAAGTCCTGTGATGAATCGTCCATTTCACCCTGGGCAATCTTCTCTAGCTCTGCCCTGCCATAACCCTTTTCGCCCGATCCAAGTAAATGTACTTCCATAACCAAGACCTTAACCTGACAACTCAAATCCCTCAACTGCTGTCTCAATATCTGTCCTTCGCGTTCCAATCCTTCCACCTGTCCCTGCCATTTGCGAGCTTCCCTCGTTGCATCATCTCTTTCTTTCCCAGCCGTGTCCAATATGTTCGACATTTCTACGACAGCGGCCTCCAACCGTGAATGATCCGCGCGAAGCTCATCAATTTCAGGTTTGCTTGACTCAAGGTCCTGCACCATTTCATCCATAGTCGCTTTCAACTCCTGATTGTTCCGCTGCTCGGCAGCGAGAAGCGTTCGCATTTTATCATACTCGCTATACATTTGTGTCAGGGTTAAACTGCCTTTGGTACGCGATGTCCTAGGTGAGAATGCACCAACTGGGGTGCCTGGCCTGAGGGGTGTGGAAAGTCCGGCTCCATTAACCCCCAGTCCCGGGCTCATTGGCTGGTGTCGCGCAGCAGAAATTTCGGACTGTAGCTCCCTGACATTAAGTTCAAGCTCGGCAACACGACGTTCTGCGGCCTCCTTGTCAGAATGCTCAGTTTCAATCTCAGCTCGTAACCTAGAGATCTCTTCTGCGGCATCATCTCTCATCTTTTCTAACGCCAATTGGCATTCTTTTACACGTCGCTTGGCAGTCTCGGCGGATGTCTGTTGCAATTGTGCTAGCCTACTTGAGCTGTCAAGTTCGATTCGGAAAGATTCTGTGGCCTGAATGGCTTCTTCCTTGAGCTGTTGAATGGTGGAGAGTGAGTCTTCGTACTTCTGCTCAACCTCATCCAGACGGGATTTGAGATTGTTTTCGCTCCGTCTTAAGGTATCAATATTGGAGTTGGCATCCTCGTTTAGCCGTTGCAGCTCAGAAATGCGAGCGCTCTTTTCCTTCCGGAACTTCAGATACTCCCCGGATTTAGTTTTCAGCTCATTCTCGAACCATTCATTATTTTTTTTCAGAAGTTCCAGCTCTTGTTGTAGGCTTTGTTCGCGGAACCGTGTACTTGAGGCGGCGGAGTTCGCAGCCTGCAACTTTTGTTCTAGGGTCGCGACCTCGCGCCGTAATTCGATTGTTTTCTTATGTTGAGTTGAAAGATCATCCGCTAACTTATCATACGCATCGGATTTGGATTCTAGTAGTGCAAGAGTATCGCGATTTGAAGTTTCTAGCGAATCGATTCGAGATTTTAGACTACTAAATTCAGTTTCACTGGCACTTGTAGACGACCTCAGAGATGCGAGTTCAGATTCTAAGCTCGACCGCGAATTATCTATTGCAAATTTGTCAGTAGATTAATAACAGAATAATGCATATCATTAAATATTACCTGATTCTTGAAGCTTGCCGCGAAGACTGGCGATTTCCGCTAAGCCTTTTTCGACAGAGTTTTTGAGAACTTTCACTTTTGATTCACCACTGCGAACAGCATTTTCGAGCTCAACGTCCAGCCTTAGTTTATCAGCCTTCAGTCCCTCTGCCTCACGAGCCTTGGTGGAGATGCTTTCCAGGAGCTGGTTGACTAGTTCGACTGTCGGATTTTGCGACAGCGTGTTGAGAGAGGCTTCGGGGATGGAGTAATGGGAAGAGAGGAAGGGAATATCGACCGCAACTGTAGCCATAGCTGCGACCAAAGATCCAAGCTTGTACGGTTAAAAACCAGTTGCAGCAGGCCGCAGGTGATATTTTGTTGCTTACTCAACGAGTCCGACGGGGAGCTAGCAGGATCAAAACAACTTGGGGTATGGGCGGTTGCTGGTGCTGCCTCAGCAAATACAGTCATAAGACACAGCGCCCATAAACTGGATGGCCTTTATCTCATGGTAATGTAATTAGAGATGAGACCCGCAACTTGAATTAAAAAGAAAAAGGAGATAAAAAGACCTATGCTGTACAGCTCTCTTCATCTGTTAGATGTTGCAGATATGAAGGATTGGGCTAAGAAAATAGTCACGGTGGCTGGTGAGTGATTTATAATCACGTGATATTTAAATTGGTCAGCACTTTCGCCAGAGAGCCTGGCCTCAAACCAGGACAAACATTCATCTTGGGATGGATGGCACCAATTTGATCAGACAATACATTCAGGCCTACCATTTACTTTCTATCCATTCGCTCGCGTCACACTTACGATTGTCAACTTTCAAACAATGTAGATGCGCCAGTCAGGACCTCAGCGTGTACTGAGCAGCAACTCACTTCGCCTCTCCAATTTTGTTTGCACTCCCGTACCGCATCATGTCCTACTTTCAGAATCAGATCAACCAGTTCAGCAGCAGCGTTGTATCTGCTGCGGGTCGTCTCCCACAAGACCGACGAACGGCCGGAGGTAATCTCGCTGCCGCCGGATCCTCCTCCGTTGCTACTTCCACCACTGCACAGGCAGTTAGATCGTCGTCTACGAACGCTGTCGCAAATGGTCGCCGACACGATGCGGATACCGTCTATTCTCAACCGGCCAACACTGGCACGGGCAAGGATATCATGACCCAGGTCGTGTTCGCTATTGACCATATGAAAAGCAAGGACTACGCGCTCAAGTTCGCAGATATCCTATCTTATCTCTCGCTACAGCAACAGGGACATGACCCTGGTTACATTCAGGCACTGAAGCGTATTCTCCAGTCCCATGATAAGGTGGAATATGATCCTTCTGGCGCTAATGGTGAGGGTACCTTCCGGTTTAAGCCTCCGCATAACATCCGCTCAGCCGAGCAATTGCTTCGGAAGCTTCAGTCCCAGCCGACGGCACAGGGCATGAGTGTGCGTGAGTTACGGGAAGGGTGGCCAAATATCGTTCAGGCCATCGATAAGTTAGAGGAGGAAGGAAAACTACTTGTTACCCGAAATAAAAAGGACAACCAGCCCAAGATGGTGTGGGCGAATGACCCTTCCCTCATCCAGCATTTTGACCCCGAGTTCCGCCAGATTTGGGAGAAAATCAAGATCCCCGACCAACAGACGGTAACCGATGAGTTGGAGAAGGCTGGAATCACATCAACAAGCAAGAATAAGGTAACAAAACCAAAACCGAAGGTCGAGCATAAAAAGGTGAAGAAAGCACGGAGAAGTGGGAAGACCACGAATACACACATGGTCGGAGTGTTGAGGGATTACTCTCACCTCAAGAGATGACGAATGAATTTATAGATTTCATGATGAGTCTGTATTTTAACGACAGTTTCCCCAAAATAACTGCACCAGAAAACGTTGCGAAACCAACAACAGATGGGAATTAAAAATTAATTTCGTTTATTATCTTCTTACTGTTTGCATTACTTTGGAAAGGAGTTTAGTGTCTGTATGATGGGCTCACTTCTTTCCTTTGCCTTAGGATTGAGCTATTTTAGGTATATGTTATGCTCTCCTGGGTATTGATTTCGGTTGACGTCAGTTTTATTACTATGTACACCATCACCCAATACCAATATTAGGATTTACCAAATCACAAATCAAAAAATTATCGCACCGACTAGATGGGAGCTCTAGTTTATTGTTATTTCTATAATTATCCTTAATGCTTCAAAGGGTTAACCATTTGATATATAGTAGTCTGCATCATTGGAATTGTATTTACGTGATCAATACTAAACCAGTTCTTCTAATCCAGGCCTGGGGAGTTAGGACACCACCTGGGCATGAGCTAAACCACCCACCGCTCAATAGCCGATTCCTTCCTTTTGATAGAGATGGGTCACAAAATCCTATCAGGCACAAAACTCAATCGAATAGAGTTGTCAACGGAGTATCACGTCAGCCGTAATATGGATAAAAATGGAATGAAATAACAAAATACAAGTAAGAGCCCTCATCAAACAAGCAACGACGCTTGGTTGAAACGAAAAACTAATGCTTCCCATTCACTACCACCTTCCCTTCCAATCCCTGTACCCTTATCAAATACTTCCTCAAATCCTCAATCGTGCACACCTTCACACCCCACCTCTTCCCAAACTCCAAACATCTTTCGGCCCTCATCATGCCATTGCCCTCCATCGCCGCCACCCCTTCTACCTCCTCTCCATCCTCAACTAGTTCACAAATAACAGCTGCCTCTGGCTTTCCTACCAGTCTACAGAACTCTACCGCCGCCTCTGTATGGCCAGGTCTTTCAAGAACACCGCCGGATTTAGCTTGCAACGGTAGAATGTGTCCTGGTCGACGGAAGTGGGTAGCTTGGACATCTGGTCGGGCGAGGGTGCGGCAGGTAAGGGCCCGGTCATGCGCGGAGATCCCCGTGGTGACAGACGGATCGGTGGCATCAATGGATATTGTGTAGGCTGTGCCGTTTGGATCGGCATTTTCAAGGACCATTTGGGGCAGATTAAGATGCGTGCAGAGGGAGGCCGGGATGGGGCAGCAGATGTAGCCACTATTATTTTGGAGGGTGCTTTGGTTAGACATTTGCTGTTCTCAACTGGATCTGAGAAAGAAAATGGAATTTAGGGCAAGTCAAGGCATGAGAGAAATATGATGAGAAACATACCTGGTCCACCGTATCATGAACGCCATTTTAGCCGCAGTCATCGAGTCCGCAGCTATGATCAGGTCCCCCTCATTCTCCCTGTTTTGGGAATCCAGGACTATGATAAACTCTCCATTTCCTATATATAATGAAAATGCAGATATTAGATTCCTTTCTTTGCTTCTTTATTTCTTCTCTTTGTACTGGTTTTCATGAGTTTGACCCTGCGGAATTGAGATTGGTGACTCATGGACAAATACTATTCACAAGAAGAGAACTGGAGCTTTTCTTTCTTACCGAAGGCTTCTATCGATTCTTCAATCGTATTGAACCGCAGACTCTCATTTACTTTCGAAGGCATAAGTACAATTATGCTTCCCGTTAACAGCCAGAGTTCCAGGCAGATATTGGGACCAGTGGTGTTCAGAAAAGCCCGGTAACAGAAGATGTTACAGAACCAGGTAATTCCTCCGTTTCAAATGCGAAGTGGGAATGGGAATATGAGCGACCGTGGGAATTGCATTCGAGGTGATATATAGTAAGGATAGACACCGGCGCACCTCAAAAATGTTGATTAGTGAACAATGGAAGAACAATTAATAATTCGTGGCGCTGATTCCCGTTACATGCCGTCGCAAGGAACCTCAGAGGGGACTACTTCCTGTTGCGGGCTAGCGCGCGGCACAGAATATGCCTCGGCTGCCGGCGTGCTAGGAGAACGTCCAGCACCACAAGCGTCATCCGTAATCAGCTCGGTGGACCTGCAACCTCCTCGCGCCTTACGCCTTAAGATCTTTGGCACATGGGTAAAAGCAGGAAAATACGACAGTGCTTAAGAATTTGGAGAACTTGCCCATGTTCTTCGAACTTCCCCACAGGTATCCAGTCTCCACTATTGGAACTACCAGAAGCTTCAAACCGAATCACAATGGCATTGACGTTGAGATGAAAGTGAATTATTATATAAAAATTTGCACCTTGCCTATGAGTAACAACAGCATCTGGACAAATAATAGTAAATAAATAAGAACAAAACAAAACGAAATAATAAATGAGAGCGAAAGCAAAGTGTTCTGCTGTTTCCCTTGAAATTGCCTCTGAAATCACCAGATTGTTGTGAGATGTGAGATCCTTCTGCCAGCCAAACCAATGAGACATAACTCAATAATCGTGGCTCTGACTGCTGCATAATTATCGTCCGCTCCCTGAATGAGGATGTCGGCCATTCCGTCAACAGCGTCTAGCCTTTCATTCTAGGCTATCAGATCGTCATGTCATCCACAAATTTCTGCAAGACATCACCGATCCAGTTCTGGCAATTCCGTCCGTTAAAGTGACTTTTTGGCAGGGACCTGGGCAGCGACAGCATCAGTCTCACTGACAATTCGTTTGGTTTATACCAACTGATCGCTGCTCAATGGGTCATAGCCCTGCATTTGTTGAATGACGGAATTTTAAGGGAACCCGACGTATGGAAGGCGTCCCCAGTTCTGGCGCTTGGCACGCTGAAGAAGAATATGGCGGCATGGCGTGTGAGCTTGGTGTCGTTCAAACCCCGGCCGCGCCAGACGAAGATGCGGATTTCCGTCTCTGCCATGGCTGTTGACAAATTGGATAATAGCGAGGAAAGGATGGGCAGTGCTGGAAATATGACCGAAGCAACGAAGGATCAAGCTAAAAAGGGCTTGAGTTTAATAGCGCGAACGCAAATAATCCCTGGCTGAACAGTGAAGAATAGATAAGATGTGAGCAAGTTTATATAGACTTGCGATACCAAGGTCAAATCTGCTCACTAGGAATTAGTGCTCTCGTTTATACCACAGAAACGGGGCAACGGTGGCAGATACAATAAAGTGCCAATACGCCCGAAACAGGTTACATGTCTGTTCGTAAATTCAACGGCGCTTCGACAATTGTTCTTGGTAGAGCGCAATTCACTGAACAACTTGGGAAATGCAACTGATGAAAAGAAAGAGACTGCATTACTATACAGGGGTTCCGGCGCTTACGTCCCAAACCAAATAATTAAGGAGGTACCAGCCAACAAAGGGTCTTACTAAATTTCATCGAAGCTCAAATGCAAGATTGACCCACCAGGTGTCCCCATTAGCGAGGCATGCCGCGATCCCTGTTTCAGTCTTCATCCCAGGGTCGTCATATCTGGAATAGCATAACCTCGCTTGTGGCAAGGCGTTTCAGTCACACTGTCCCGCTATTGATAGAATTGAAAATCTGAAGATATTCGGCTCGCGACCGCGTTAGTAGCGAGTTCGGGCGGCAGGTGGAATGACAGTGCGAGGCACCACATCTTCACAAGTGGTTGGCAGAATAGTAGGGAGCCATGCAAATTCAAGGATGCTCTAACAATTATAGTAGCCTGCAAGGTCGCACCTTAAATATTACCCAATAGCATCAGAAAAAGAGAGGGAAGCAAAACACTTAATTAGCTAGGGCCGCTGGATGAATGGTCTTCCATCGGGGGTCTGGCGGCTCAAGTTTCAGAACATGCACCATGGCATGGAACTCGCGCCCGTATTAATGTGAGAGGGAAGAACGGAGATGTTTCGCATATTCAGGCATCTGCTTCTTTGAGGGAAGGTCGGTGAACATCTGTACAACATCCCAGTATTCTGGGAACCATCCAGCCCACTCCCAGTCAAGAACCGCTGCAATATCGCCATCCTCGTTAACCAAGATATTCCTGGGACTAAGATCACCATGAGCAAAATGGATCGAATGGGTATGACTGGGATATTGCTGGGCGTTCGGGGCCATAAAGTGGTTGAAATCCTTCTCGGTTTTGGATGGCCAACCCCAACGTGAATAATAACAGCCAACTCTGACTGGGGTGCCATTAACTCCCTCGATTTGCTTGCCTGTCAACTGTCGAAGTTCCTCAAGATAGTTGGCGATCTGGCAGCAAGTGGATTTTCGTTGATCCTGGGTTAAATCCATCCAGACTTTGTCCAGCGGTTTTCCGTGCACATATAATCCATGATAATGTAGAACGTATTCTGCTCCTCATCGAATTTGGTCTCGTAAATTTTTGGCACAGGAATGGTCGTGTTGGCAGCGACAAATTTCATAATATCATGGTCATCTAGACGGATGGCACGAGGAATGCCGAGAATAGAGTTTGAGATATCCTGACCGTAGCCCGCTAGAGCAATTCCGATTAGTTTCCTGGGCAACTACACCACGAAGCGACCACGAAGCAGACACGAGAAGAAAATACCTACCTTTTGGAGTGAATGGTCCATCCTACTGACACCAGCATCTCGAGATAACGGAGAGAATAAACCCTTGAAAACAATGAATGGGTTGAATGCCGAACGATTTGCTGGGGAAATAAAGAGGAGTAAGGGGCTGCTCGCGCAGTGCAGGTTCTTGAGTTTGCCAAGATTAGCCCTAAACATGGAGACGGTTACAGTTGAACGGGCAGTTAACGAGACCATAAGACGGCTGGCTCCACTGCCCCTGGCCAGGTGAGCTTATTCACCACCCTTATTTTTAGCTGCTCTGCGATAAACTGCGCTGATAACAACTGCGAATTTCAAATTCGATCACATGTGATCTGGTTTCATTCTCTTTTGATATGATTTTAGCTGACATTTAGCAGTTCAAAAAAAACCTAAAAAGAGCCAATTTTTAAGAAATAAGTAAAGCGTAAAATAACTACTAGTATGCAAGGCGAATTTTTAATATAACTAATGATTTAATAAGTCGCGCAAAGGAACGCGCATACACATGGCGGGGCTGCGACCTTTATCATGAGCCCAATATCATGCACCAATAGGTAGACTAACTTGAATGGCAGGAGACAAAACCGTACATACATTTCCAATTTATAATAAGCTTGGATTATGCAGTATTACATCTATAAGACAAAGGGTATATATTATGAATAGCAAGGGACTCTAAAAATCCTTATCCCCCTATCACGAAATATTATCCTTTATCTTAACCAAACAGAAATAGGGATCAAAAGGTATATGACGCACGTTCTCATACTCCCATTCCGAGATCTCCCATCCCATCCAAGTAAGTTCTTGCTAGTTCGCTCTTGGCGATCGAGAAGCAGCCTCCGTATCTATATCCAACTTACGCTCCTCCTCACGGCTTGCAGATTCCATTTGCTCTTCGTAGATCTCAGCTTCATTATCCCAATCCTGGCGGGCCTTATTTGAGAAGTGTAGACGACCAATCCTGTCTCCCGTCCATATGAGGAGCTCGTCATCCAGCACATAATTGTATCCGGTGGGCAGAATTTTGCGAACTATATCAGAGACACCGGCCGCAGATTCATCAACCCACCTGTAGGATTCCGAATCATGTAAGCTGGGCGGAATTGAGTGCGTTAGGCCTAGCCGGCGTCTGCGATATTTAGTATTTTTGGTCAAATTCCACCGTCGTACTTCAGTTCGGCCGTCCCGTTCGACCCATTTGATGTACCCATTTGCGTCAGTGAAGACGAGACGGGTGCCATGGGTTGCCACGGACAAAAGTTTTGAATACGGTTCGCTCTGCCGATTCAGGCATATTCCATCCCTTACAAACAATAAGCGGTCCTACGTTCTATAATCTCCAAGATTCGCAGGGGTGGAGATCGAGAACATATCAAGAGATCCGTGTCCTTTGTACTCTCCAGCCGCAACGATAGTGTGGTTATTTTGTAACTCGGGGTGGGTAATGGAGTATGGTCGAGGACACGTTGGGATAGCTGCCAAGCTACATATCCGTGCACCTGAGTGTGCAGTGCTCAGTAAGCTAGACAGGTTGCGACGGTCATATAGCAGAATCGCAGAAAAGCGTCCGGCAAGTACAATTGAGTTTATATTCGGCAGCGGGGAGTGCAGTATCGAGAGTGGAACGGGCTGAAACAAAGATACGTATCTACCGTTATCTGGAGACATGGGACAACATAGCCTGGTATCTGGTCCCGGGCCGCGGAATCTTGGGTCATAGAGGTTGAGATTCCGTGTAGTTCCCACAGTCAACGGGGCTGAATATTCGGTTTCCTGGGAAAGAGCGAATATCGACCACGGGTATTTTTGTTGCGATATTACCTGCAACGTGGATAGATCAACTTCATTCAAAATGTTCCCGACCGCGATATAAGCAGTTTGGAGGAATGAATCGACGCTCATACATTCCCCGATGCTAATGAAGTCGAGGTTCGTTGGTTTGGACGAGAAGGCCGCATCTGCTCGTCGTGATGAATCCGTGGTAAGGCTGCCCCGTACACTAGTCCCTACAATTTTCCCTCTTGCATCTCGTTTACTCAGACTCGACCGGTTAAGGTCCCACAGACAGAGGGTTCCGTCATCCAGGGGGGCAATTACCTTATCTGAACCTCCATAACGGTTGTCTTTCATAAGGCCCATCCCTTTGATTTCGTGTTGAATAATCGCATCATCCTCATCTCGGACCGCAGTTGTATACGGCTCTTGCAACCAATGAACTGATATTGGCGCATTCCGAGCGATGTATTCCGAATACCAGTCGATTTGCTCCCCCTGGTAAGACGGATCCCATTGACTGGCGGAGGTCGCGAGGGGGATGGTCCGTTTGTTGTGGGAGCTGTCTGAATCCGTATGCAAGGCCTTTGATGATTTAGCAATATTGCCAGCTTGAATCTGGTCCGTCAGCAATACATCCAGAACACCGCTTGTGGTGTTGGTGTTGGGCCTCAGGTTATGCAAAGTATTGCAACCTTGTAATTTATTTAAATGGTTAGCGGCCTCATAGGAGTGGTGGCGCCATATTGAATTATCGCGACATATGTCAGAAAGTCGCCTGGAGACACACTGGAGGGCAGATAGTTCGTATGGGCCGATATCTACGACGATGGGTCAGCTCCAATGTTGACAGTTTGCCGAAGCTGTTAAGGTGAGCCTACACTCAAGTATCCGGGAGACAAGCTCCACTGGTAACTTCTCCATGGATCAACATATGTAGCAATGTAAGAAATAAGGACAACAGCAGGAGATACATTGCTGGTAAATCCAGGCCCAAATTCAAGATTCCCCTCAATGCAGCTTTAGATTCAGAGCAAGGAAGATCCATATAGCTGGTCGGTTTGGTAGACCATGTGACTGACCATTAAAGCGCAATCTGTGGGACGTCTAAGTGGTTGTATTATTTAGCATGTTGGCACCTGAGGCAAACATACCTATATTTGCGGTGCGCTAGTCAGTTGATCCATTTCATCCTCCCCTTGTTTGATATCCTCTTGATCTCTTCTTGACCGAGAATCAGGGTTTCCACCTGGTTTTTGTAAAGATTTTTGCACCATTCTGTCCATTCTTATCCGAATATTCATTCATTCGATTCAAGTATTCATCCTGTTCTCTCAAATATTCCATCATTTGTATCATGGTATTATCAGTCGTTGGGCCCGTGGTAGGCTCATATTCAATATCATCATTGCTCGAGTTCTAGGAGGCGTTCTCCCCCTTAAATCAATCAATTTTTAATATCTTTCCACCGCAATCAAAGCTGTTGGCCTTCGTCAGGATCCTTCTGCTGATCAGCGTAGCAGCTCGCGAGACGTTAGATACCTCAGGTAAACAGTGGAAGGTGGAATATATATATATGTATATAACTATATATTTAATTTTTAATAAAAAAACCAGCAATCAGGGCTATGACCTAGGCAGCTGTGGCATATATGTGCGGTGCGTTAGTCCGTAACAGGTAGCCTAGGACCAACAATGGATGGATAATGGCTGAAAGGCATGTATCTGATATGTAAATATAGATGGCATTATTATCATCAAAATCATGAGAAATCCAACATGTAGGTCCTTGCTCTCGCGATTCCAACGTACATGATCATTACAACGATATGTATATCCAGAACATCACCCTACGTATCAGGTTTAAACACAACATCTTTGCAAAGAATAGCTACTTTCTTGAAGAACCGTCTCCATTCCAAAGGATCGCCCTTTACTTTAACGAACTCAACCTCCACATGCCCCTCTGTGATGCTTTCAATAATAATATTGCCATGGAGGGGGCACTTCCTGTCATCCTGGGTCCGTATCCGGATGAGTGTCGAATCGGCAGAATCAGACGATGTTGGGGATGCTGGCACATGCAGAAGCTGAAGCGCTTCACAAACGCGTGGGACTAGTAATCCAAGAGGCCATGCCGAAGCGAATCGGGTGAGGCGAGACGCGGGAACTATATCATGGAAGTTCACTGCGTTCTGCGTTCGGCTGAGAGGGACGGATGGGGTGGCAGAGAATTGAGACATCGACGGGTCTTGAGATAAACGTTCGGTGAGGAGCATAACATGATTTGTATCCATTGACTTGGGTTGGGAGAACGCAGATTGTGATGTTAGCCTGGGGGGTCCATCCCAATCCAGCGTATCATCGACTGGATGTTCGGGTTGAGTGGATGCAAATTTAAACTTCATCGATGACTCTGGTTCATCTATCTCCATGGCACCGGTATCTGTAGTGGTGGGCTGAGGCTGAGAAGAAAGGGATAGAGGGTCTCTATTGAAATCAATATGTAATGATTCGAGCATGGTCGTAGCTAGATTTATAGGATTGGATAACCTGTTATCTGCAGACATATAAGGATTCGTTCTCGTAAACCAAGGGTGTCTGCGGATGTCATCCATGGAGAACCTGTTCGATGCATCGACCTTCATCATTCCCCGAAGAAGAGACAGTGCAGCCGTCGGCAGTCGTTCCCAAAGCTCATCTGATGGCTTGGCGTTTGTTTTCACATACTCGACAAATTCGTAGCTATCATCTGTTGGGCTATCCCAGGGAGTATTGCCAACAAGGAGGACAAAGAGGACCACTCCACAAGACCAGATATCCACAACATCAGCTCTGTAACCTTGTCCCTTGGACTTACCTCTGTTACTGCACTTAATGACCTCGGGTGCGATGTAGGGCGGGCTTCCACAGAGGGTTGTGCTCAGCTTCGTCTCTCCACGGTACTCATAGAGTGTGGCAAGCCCAAAATCAGCTATTTTCAAGTTCCCGTTTGCGGACAGAAGAATGTTTTCAGGTTTAATATCCCGATGGGCAACTCCCTTGGAATGCATATATCCAACTGCATTTACCAGCTGGCAGAAGTAGACGTGCGCCACATCCTCCCCCACTCCCTCGTCAGCCTCGATCTTGTCAAACAAATCGCCCCCTTCCGCTAACTCCATGGCTATCCACCGCCAACAATCATCTTCACCCGTCTCATGGAAGTAGATGATGTTGTTGTGGCGTCCAATGTGTTTATGCAGAGCAACCTCCATCTGGAGTTGTTTGCTAGTAATACGTCCATGTCGAGCTGCGTAATCTTTGTGTATGAATTTAACCGCAAATACCGGCGAGTCGCTCTGAAGTGGACAAGCTCTTTTGATGCTACGAGCGAGGAGAGAAATCGATATCAGCTTCTTTGGCTTCTCCCCAGATAAAACATCAAAGCAGGGAATATGATATATCAATTTACCATGCGTAGGCTCCCTGTCCAATAGTTTTTGACACTATGCGAAACGGTAGGTCGTTCGGAAGAGGGGCTAATTGAGAATGCTTCATCAGGACGCTTTGACCACAATAAAGCTTTCAAATCATCACGGAGAAGAATGTAGCAGCGATCAGACCACCCATCAAGACAGGCCAAGGCCAGACTAGATTCAGGGTGTTGGTGCGACACGGCACAGGGTCGCGGTCTCTTCCAAATTATCGATTGGCGGCGCAGCAGTTGTCGAACATTCGAACGCTGGGCTTATCAGCTGAACTGAATAATAATACGTGGAGACCTGTAGTGGCTGGTTGGAAAAAACCACGAATCTGACGCGAGAAAGAGTGTTTTAGCCCCAGCATGTTGGGCGACGCGCCGGTGGCTAGAATTGAATGATTTGCATTCTGGGGCCTTTCCTGCAGTGGAGCGATAAGGGCAATCGCCAGCCAATCGATGGGAGTTGGTTGCCCTGGTAAACAAACACTCGGAGCCCCAGCCAAGTTAGTGCTACTGCGATACAACCGACACAACAACTTCTTCCACACCCCCAGTTTCTTGTCTTTCCTGCCAGCATTCCTTGCTTCTTCTTCACTGTCGTAAGGTGATTGTGAATCTTGTGAGAGCGACATATAACCCCCTCCCCCTGTTCTTGGCCCCATTTCAGATCATCAAGCACCGCCCCCACTGCTCAACCGGCATCGACAATCAACAAGAGCTCGTAAACTGTACTATTGTTGCCATTGTCACTTTCGTTTGAATAAATAAGATAACCACTCGACAAGTGCGAAACCATGGACTACAATGTGGAAGATACCCAAAACTCTGGCCCGGATTCTGCAGTGACGCTGGAGAATTCGAAACTGGGCATTGGTGCTACAAGAACTGATAATACTCAAAAGGTTACCAAACGGTGCGTTTTTATATTCAACGGAAAAAGCCAAAAAACTTTTTTTTTACCTATAAGCACACGGGAAAGGTGGTGCGTCAGGGTGACGGCCAAGCAGATCATTATTGCTTTTTGTTTGCTGTCCCTCTGTCTGGCCTTCACCCGAACTGCTGGGAATCCCTATTCTTCCCAAGGGAGCCATGCTAACACCGTTTGATTCGTGGATTACAGGCTACAGAGTGAATTGATGCAGCTGATGATGTCTCCGTCACCTGGTATATCTGCCTTCCCAGATGCTGACGGCAATTTACTGTCGTGGACTGCCACAATCAGTGGACCAACAGAGACGCCCTATGAGGGCCTCACCTTCAAGCTCTCCTTTGCCTTCCCTTCAAACTACCCTTATGCGCCTCCTACAGTCCTCTTCAAGACCCCTGTTTACCATCCAAATGTCGATTTTTCCGGTCGAATCTGTCTCGATATTTTGAAGGACAAGTGGAGTGCGGTTTACAACGTTCAGAGCGTGTTGTTGAGCTTGCAAAGCTTGCTCGGGGAGCCAAACAAGTCAGTTTTATTTTACCCTTTCATTTCATTTTGCTATCTACGCCGCTGTATAGCCTGTATGGTTTTGGGGAATCTTACTGACCGAGTGTTCTGTCATTTAGTGCAAGCCCTTTGAACGGCCAAGCTGCAGAGCTTTGGGATAATAACCCAGAGGAATATAAGCGGCATGTTCTCGCACGACATCGGGATATTGAAGCTGGTGAATAGAAGACTCAGGCCATTGGCATTCAGCAGTTGTTTATGAAGGGCAAATCAGGATGCATCGCGTTTCTTTGGTTGGAGTTGCATGAAAATAAGCCACCAGCGCTTGTTTTGGAAGGTTAAAATCATAGCCCCTGTGGTTACTTTCTACCTTCACCATGGAGTTCAGAAGGGTTTTGTTGCTTTCATTTCTTTTTTCCTCTCTCAATTTACTTCCCCCCTGCCTTCCGATATCCCCTCCGAAACCTCTCCCCCCCCCCCCCCCCCCTTTTTTTTTTTTTCTTTCCAAGCACGAGTGGGCCACTGCAACTTGGATGGAGTACGAAGTTGTGGTTGCTGGAAGACTGCGACAAACAGTTTTGTCCTTTCTGTTTTACTTTTCTCATTCGTCTTGTTCTCTCTCAGCATTTTTCCCTCTCTCATGTCAAACAGTCTCTATCTTCCAAACTTGCCAACTCCTTTAGGAAATTTGGATCCATTTCCCGCTCTTCCTTTTGACTAGGCACCGGATTTTTACTTGGGAACGTGAATGAAGTATTGTTGGCGAAATTGAACAACAGTGTTCATGTATGACTTTATCCTTAAGCCAAAGAACAGTGTTATCATTATTCTGTACTCTGCCTCTCGAAACATGTGTGTCCTTGCTGGGCCCCTCAGATAGCTACTCTTACCTTCGCCTCATCCATATGAGACGACGGTTCCTGCAACACACATCGTTTAATGTAGGTACGCCTTTGCTGCACGTGGAGGGGATATTGGATAGCATATCTCAAACTGCTCTGCTTGAGAGGCTGAGGTGACTGCATATTGACTTCCAACGATATACTCGTCCTTACCTCATGTATCTACCCCATGCCGGCAAGGGAGATGCAACCCTATCGACATTATTAGCAACTCTTAGCAACTACAATTCTAAAAGTCTCTGTAACTTTTGCCCAACTCCTAGACTTGAGTTTGATTGCTGCAGAGTTGAACCTTAAAGAGGAGCCCCGCAGCCGCCGTCACCGCCGCCGCCATTTCGGGTATTTTTTTGATACCAACAAGTTGAAAGACAACAGAACAACAGAAATTGTGCCCATATGTTACTAAAACAAAATAATAAATATATCAATAAATGAAGTAAGAGGAAAGGAAAAAAATTAATCAAAGAAAGGGAATAAAACAAATATAAATGAGGAGGAAAGAAATGGTGTATTGAGACGCTACTCTATAAGTAAGTATTTCAGATTTTCTGGTCGCTTACCAACTGACAGCGGCTTAATATGCTGATTGCTCTAGTTAGAAGTGAATACGGTCCACTAAAAACAATATAGGTCCGGGCGTGCTGAGACTCTGCCTATTTGATTGCCCAAGGAGTCGATGCTGGTGAAATTACAAAGACGGTTGAGATGATAATCGTGATGAGATGGAAGAGTTGTTCTGCATTCTGGTGGACTATGATCTTGTTCTACAAGTAATGGGACTTTTATTGATTAACTGTGCATTAAACTTTAGACACTGTTTGTTCCAAGACATATGTGAATAGCAGGAATTGGATAGAACATCATGAATGATCCTGTTTAGCAGTTGAGACAGCTTCTATTAAATGTCTAACATAAAAGCTGTTATGAGTTCTATCAATATTTTGTAGTTATTCCAGAAATGTAAGTTAACTAGTTAGTTAACTAACTTTTCTGATAAGCTTTTTTTCAAACCTTCTTCGGCATCACTCGCAATCTCCTAAGTTGGTGGAGAGGAGAGGGAAAAACGACGTATAAAATGCCCATCATGAATTTCCAACGATTCCACTGCAGCTAATTGCAATTACTTAATCGCCCTCCAGTAAACGAATCATTGCCCTTGCTCTATATCTATCTTATTGGGTAGGAAATATGTGTGGACGCGAAGGCTTAGTAAGATATTTTAGGATGAATCGTTTGACTAACTACTGAAGTTTATGTGCTTGGTTAATGCTTCTTTACATCCAGGAGATGAAAAACGAATCGTGGTCTAAAGCATTTTCAGCTATTATAATCTGCAAGTAAAAAGTTTGAATACCATGGAGTTACATGTAGCGAAAGAACTTCCACAATGTCCTGAATACTTCAACTTTGCTTACGATGTCGTCGATAAATGGGCTGCACAGTTGCCATCGCTTCAGGCAATGCTCTGGGTTGACCAGCAGGGCAAAGATCCACGATCTCTCGATTTTGCGTATTTCTCCCGCCAGTCAAATCGCGCCGCGGAATTGTTAGTTAGACTTGGAGCTCGTAGAGGGGATCGGTTGATCATTGTCCTCCCTCGGGTTCCAGCATGGTGAGTAGAATGCTCCCACTCCGATCCCGAGCCCGGCTATTTTCTATTTTAGGGGCATATCGCGTACGTCAAAGGCATTTGATTATATGAAGATTATATATTGATGAAATTTATAGGTGGGAAATTGCGACCGCTGCGATTCGCATTGGCATTGTGGTCTGTCCATGCCCCGTACTGGCTGTAGCACATGATATCAAGTATCGTGCGGAGGCATCCAAGGCTTCCATATTTGTTGGAGACACTGTCAGTATCTCCAAGTTCAAGGCCGTCCAACACGAATGTCCCGATATTCGAACAATTCTTCAGGCAGCAGGTTCCCCGCTTGTGGACGAACTCCAGTATTCTGCTGAGCTGGAGAAGATACCGAAGCACTTTGTCTTCAAAAATACGTTACCGAAAACTAAATGGTCGGACCCATCCGTCATTTATTTTACGTCGGGTAGGATGATATTACTAGAATATTTTCAAACAATAATACGCCCCTTCGGACTGACCTTCCCCAAATAGGTACAACCGGTATGCCGAAAATGGTTCTGCATAATCAGGTTTCTTACCCTTTAGGTTTGACCTCTTTCTGTAAATTTCAGGTTATATGGCACTTGAACTAAATGTTTTCTTCGAAGCACACGTTTTGACTGGTAGCCTGTGGCTTGGGTTAGAACCTGGAAAGTTATATTGGAATCTTTCTGAGCAAGGTGTGAATATCCATGAACATAACGAATGCAAAAACGACCATCTAATATAATTCAAATTGCCAGGTTGGGCGAAGGCAGCATGGGCATGGTTCGCTGCTTGGAGTTGTGGAGCAGCTCTCTTTGTCCAAGAGACCGTCGGCCCTTTCAATGCCGAGAGTGCTCTTGATAATCTGCACAACTATCCCATTACCACCCTTTGCTCCCCTCCCACCGCTTATCGGCAGTTTGTGCTTCCCTCAAGGCGCAAGTACTTTTCCCAAAGGCCTCCGTTGGCGCTGGAGCAATGTGTTGGGGCAGGAGAACCGCTGAATGACGAGGTAATTCGCATCTGGGAAGATATGAGTGGCATAAAAATTCGTGATGGGTACGGCCAAACTGAAACTACTCTTGTTTGCGGAAATTTGAAAGGGGCCAAGGTCAAGTATGGGTCAATGGGCCTCCCGGTCCCTGGTGTGCCCTTGACTGTTGTGGACGAGAAAGGCGATGAATCCCCAGCGTTCCAGGAGGGTGAAATTGCCATTGCAACCACGACCAGCTCTGGCGTTAGAACCATTAATCTCTTTTCCGGTTATCTGAGTCCAGATGGAAAAGTTACGTTGCCTCAACGGAAAGGGAAAAGCTGTTATTGGTATCTCACAGGAGATAGAGCTTATAAGGACGATGATGGCTACCTTTGGTTTGTCGGCCGGTCAGATGATGTTATAAACTCATCCGGGTACAGGATTGGTGAGTCGCCAGTCCCTGCGGCCAGATTGGTAGAGAACAACAAAGACGATATTGAAGTTCTCTCAGGTCCATTTGAAGTCGAGTCCGTCCTCAAGAAGCACCCTGCAGTTGTTGAATCCGCTGTAGTGGCGTCCCCAGATCCCGATCGTGTCGAGGTTGTCAAAGCCTTCATTGTTTTGGAAGACAGTTTCAAGTCACGCAATCCTGATTCCCTGGTAACTGAGCTTCAGGAGTTTTGTAAAAAGCAAACTGCCCCTTACAAGTACCCTCGACGGATCCAGTTTGTAGAGCCGAGTTTCCTGCCCAAGACAATTAGTGGAAAGATTAAAAGAGCGGAACTAAGGGCTTTAGAGAGGAGGGTCATAACGAGAGGGGCAAGGATATGATGATACCCATAGAATTTCTAGTTAAATCAAAACGAAGTAGGGCTAGTTTATCAATCACATGACCGTTATTATCCTGCCTGATGACATTGAAATAATTGACTCATTTGTGTCGTCGACAGATATGCTCTAGATCACCTAAATCGCCATCACATAAATTAAGCATGGCGACTGACGTCAACTGGGAGCTGATGGAGGGCATTCCCCAAGTCGAGGATCCATTCATCCAGAAGTACCTCCAGGGACGAGATGCGATGATTGTAGAGGAGCAGAAACAGAGACATGGCTAGTACTTATGCTATGCTATCTACTAAATATTGGAAACTAAGAGGTGTCTAGATTTCTATTTTCGCAAGTCAATGTCACCTGCCGCTGCAGTGGCTTGTAAAATAATTTCTGCCATTCGTCGGCGAGAACTGAGAGAAGTCTGGACGAAGGACACTGAGCAAGATCTAGCCTCTCAATCTGACGAACCGCTGTATCCTGGCATGATGTTCCATTTAGGAAGAGAGCGGATGGAGAAAACAGATCTTTGGAAGATTATTGAGAAAATGCCAAAAGGTTTGTTCCTATGTGTAAACATTCTTTATTATCCGTGGCTAAGATCGCAATTATTCCACATTAGGGGCTTTGCTACATATACATTTAGAAGCTATGATCGACCTGGATTTGCTATGTGATTTAGTGCTATCGCTCCCCAACCTATACATGTCCACTTCAACGCCATTGGTCACAGCAAAGGATTGGGAGACGAGTCCAATCCATTTCCAGTACTTTTCAAACCCTCCAGGCCAGCCCGGAAAGAGAAGCATTCTTTGGGAAGCGGGATATACTCCTATGTCCTTTGCGCCTGTTCAGCAACTTGCTAGCGTATATCCCACCGGCGGAATCGACGGATTCCGCGCCTGGTTAAAAAGCAGATGTACTCTTTCTCCTGAGCCGTCTTCACATCATCGCGGGGTTGACGATATCTGGATTCAGTTTCAACGTACCTTCCAAGTTGTTGATTCTATTTTATATTATGAGCCTGTTTTCCGGGCTTGTATGCAACAAATGCTCAAGGAGCTCCACGAGGATGGTATCCGTTATGTTGAGTTCCGATTGGTGTTCGACTTCCCATATCGACGTGACCGCCGTGATCAACCCGAATCGGATTATGAAGCTTTTTTCCAAGCTTTCGGTGAAGAGACCGAGAAATTCAAGCTTTCGCCCGAAGGGAAGGGTTTCCATGGAGCACGGATGATTTGGACGACAGTGCGCACCCTTTCAAATCGATTGATTGCCGAAAATATGAAGGATTGTATTTCCATCAAACAGAAATTTCCGGGGTTGGTTGCGGGCTATGATATTGTTGGTCAGGAGGAGAAAGGGCGAACGCTTGCAGATTTAGTCCCGGTCCTATTTTGGTTCAAGAAGAAATGTGTTGAGGCAGGGGTGGATATACCATTCTTCTTCCATGCGGGGGAATGGGTTGGAGACGGCGACGAAACGGATCATAACCTCTTTGACGCCATCTTATTGGGCGCACGGAGGATTGGTCACGCCTTGACTCTCCACAAACATCCGCTTCTTATCGATCTAGTCAAGGAGAAGAAGATCTTGATCGAGTGCTGTCCCATATCGAACGAAGTACTTCGCCTTACTAGTTCAATTATGACACATCCCCTCCCTGCATTGCTCGCAAGAGCAGTCCCGGTGGCATTGTGCAATGACGACCCTACGCTACTGGGATACGGGAAAAGTAGATTTACACATGACTTCTGTCAGGTTCTCAATGGCTTAGAGAACGTTGGGCTTGCGGGTCTTGCGATGATGGCGGAGAACTCAATAAGTTGGAGTTGTTTTGAGGACCAAAATTCATCCGAATGGCTACGGGACATTCTCGCCGGACTGGCAGGAACTGGCGTGAAGGCAGCTAGTTTGAGGGATTGGCGGATTGAGTTTGAAAGGTTCTGCCAGTGGGTGACGTTGGAGTTCGGCTCCGAGGTTGACGAGGATGACGAGGATGACGAGGATGAGTAACTTAATGGCAATGTATTCGACGTGCTTTTCCCACTCATAGGGAAACTGGAGTTTGTTACACAAGTACAGGCAGAATATCCGCAGAAAGACTTCCCCGCCGTCTCTTGGACTATTCTGCAGTATGCTGATTCTAGCGTCCTCATTGTCATGCTGAGGAACGGGCGATCTATTGCTCTCTACGGAGTGCGCAACGCCGTTCCTTGCTAGCCTTTGATATTCTAGCATGACATACTCAACTTTGTATCAACCAGGTTTGAATAAACAATTTCTCCCAGAACAAGAAGCAGATTTTTTGCGTAATGCCAGAACACGCACTGTATGGCTCATATGGGCCCAAACTAGCTCCATATTAGTAATTACTGGGTGCCTAAGATAAGGCGATGTTTGTGAGGTGGCTTGCTATTATATCCTTGGAGATCTAGGGTTTTGCGACTGGTTCGCAGGTTGTCTGGAAGAAACCTTGGAAAAGCAAATCAAAAACCTCCAATATCAACTTGTAGAAAGACGTCCTTTATTGTATTTGGCTCTTCTGGCTGTTGCCTCCAACCATCCAATGGATGCCAGCTCAGGGTCATGTGATTCACTGGAATTTGCCCCAAATCGGTGCTTTCGGAATCTCAAATGCATCGTTGTGACCATCATTCTTCCTTTTTCTGTCTCGGATGTAATTTGACTACCCATCGCTGGATCTAGTCCAAGTGTACTGGAGAAGACTGACTCAGTCAGGTGAAACTTGTTATTGCGTGTGAAGGAGTTTGCATCGTTTTAAGGGCCGCAGCGAATCAAACCCGTCCAGCAATGCAACGGCGATGAATGACGCACCAAGACACCGGACTCAACCCTTCCCGGCGGGTGCTGTTCATGCTGGCCTGTTTACTCTTAACTGGGCTTGCAGCGACGCAAAAAGAATACAGTTCGTTCAAATAAACGGGGCTTTCTAGTCTTTCTGCCTTAGCCCGCGTTCGATCTTCCCATGGCCACATACTTCCTGCCTTCTCCAGGTTGCCCATCACCACCATCGTTTGGCCGATTCCGACCTACTCCCAACTCCCAAATAGCAGTCCCCATGTTGCGAGCACTTCTCGATGATATACTTTAACTCCCTGTGAGCCCGGAGGCTCTCGAATTTCCTAAATCCACTATGTCCTACTTTCTCCCCTCGTTTTTCCAGAAGCGACTGCTGAGATATGCATTATCGCGACTGGAGCTGGTCGACACAGACGCCCTTGACTTGGAGAGTTTGGGCATTACATGGGGACAGCGGAGCACTTTTGAACTAAGGGATATTGGTCTACGGCTTGAGGTATGTTATCGGTGTGACTATAATTTCTCTCAACCTCGTTCACTACACGCTTTCCTGGAGTTGCTGATGGGTCCGATCTCGACATATAGAAACTTTCCTCGGTCCTGCAGTTACCCCCATCGTGCAAGCTCACGCAGGCTACGGTTTCTCTTATTCACGTGACGATACCCGCAGATATATATAGCAGTAGTATCGTCGTCGAAGTTGAGAACGTGCAAGTGAAATTGAAGTTGCTCTCGGATGATGCTGCGTCAAGCGGAGATGATCGTGAACTCTGCAGGCCCTTCGACGAGCTATCCAATAACCCCAAGGCAAATGATCCTCATCCACCCGGATCTCATAGCCACGACCGATCTAGTGAGAAGAGTAGCATCCTCCCATCTACCACTGACCTTGCCCAATCTTTCCTTGAATCAGAGCCCAAGGAAGAAAAAGCTGAACTGGAAGCCGCTATTTCGTCCCAATCTCAATATTCTCAATGCTCCGATGGTCTCAGCGACGATGGAGAGGAAGAACTCGGAATCGGAGTTGAGGATGGCATGTCATTACCTGGTTTCGTTGCTGGGTTTTTTCAAGGGGTGGCTGATCGCCTACAATTAAAGGTCAAGGATGTGGTTTTCAAAATCGACATGGAAGTAGGCCACGATAGAACGTCGAACAGTCCGCAAGATCTAACGGTAGATACTGTTACGGCTATGTTTACGATCCAAAATATATCCATAGACAGCGTCGTATCGCCTATGGAGGAAAACCCAGAGCTGAAACCTGGTAAACGCTTTATCTCATTCTCACAAATTAACTTGATATTCCTTGCGGATGCGGGCGTCTTCTCGAATTATTCTCATTTCGTCCCTCCGTCTCTTAAATCCCCTTCCGTCACTCATTCCACTCGCTCTATTCATTCTAAGCTTAGCCACTCCCCACTAAATGTCTCCTCCCCTGCACCCACATCTTCTTCCTCCGGTTCGTCTCTTGTAATGTCACGCGGAACTATCCTCGATCAGCCTTCGCTATTGGAAGATAGGCCTTCCAACCATCAGCTGGCGGATTCGGTGTATACAGACGATGGCAGGTTCTCAGATGCTGGGACGGAATATGAATACGGAGCTGGAAGCTATTTGGACCATACTCGCCCGATGACTGAGAACCACTATGATGAAAATATACTGGATAACCCTATCTATCTCGATGAAGCTATACGATCCAACCTTGCTGATGAGTTTCAAAGTTCTCCTCCTTCGATTTCTGATCCGACTGATCCGACAGATGAACCGTCAGGGGATACCCCTCGGCCACGGAGTCCAACATCCTTACCGGACGATCACATGTACCATTCAATGGAAAGTTCCACTCATTCTACAAACCATCCATCACAGCATCTAGAAATACCGCCTGTTGAATACCAACCCGAATTTTCAGAGCCTAGTGGGGACGAGATTGAGGTTTCCGATTCAGATAACGTGCCCTGCACGCAAGAACCAAGTAGATCCGGGTCTAGTACCCCGCAAAGAAGCCATTCAGAATCCGCTTCCGTCGTTGAAGACCTGTCGAAGTCTAAAATATTTACTCATGAAGAAGCAACAAGTATATATATGAGCGTCCTGAGCTCCATATCAGCAGGATCTCTTCCGGACATGCCTGGGGGTTGGGAATCACCAAAATATGAGGCAAGCAAGAGAAATGTCTCTTCTCCTTCCTTGGCTCCGTCAACGGATGTTGAACCTACTTCAACAACTTCAGAGGGAACTCCAAAAGCAAAACCACTTGTTCAATTGGAGAATGGTGAAACTCGAGATACTTCACACGTGTTAGGAAGTCCCTTACTGTCTAACCCAAATCAATCAGGCCTTACAGAAGCTGAAATCAAGTCTCCATCACGTTCACCAGATTATATACCTAGGATTGCCAAACGGGTCTTTGAAATTGATAAACTGGCAGTATGGTTGCCGTCCTTAGACCCAAAAATCACGAAATCTCAGGATGTGCCGACACAAAACTCTCCAAGAAACGAATTTGACCATATGGAGACGTCAACTATGAGCTTTACAGATTCTGCTACCGATGAGGAGCCGGTTAGTCTTTCTCAACATCTTGCCTTTCAGCAGCCGCGGAGAGAATTGATCTTCTCCCAATCCCTTCATCAATTGGCATCCCCAGAGCAAGATGATACCAGTGTCCCGGGATTCTATGCTGGTACAATTTTAGTTGATGTCCCTACTATTACTATTGAGGTTGACATCGCCTGTGGATGGCTTTTGACAATGATGGGGCAAAGGCTCGTTTCGACTTGGAATCCTACCACTCAGAATGAGAAATGCCGAAGTGAGAGTAAACATGCAACGATCTTGCCCTTAAACCTTACACTCGCAAACTGCTCGATCAGATTCTTGGAGCATCTTCCTATCTATCGTTCTGCCTTCAATGCTACAAGTTTACATTACAATCCCGAAGTTAGCGAGATCATCTTACGCGTAACATTGTCGGGAATAAACTTCAAATCGTCTGTCCGAGGTGACACCTCGGAATTCATTCTTAATGTCACCAAGCTCACATTTGGCCATGCATCAGAAGATATCATATCGTTTGATGATGGGCTTAAAATGCGCGATTCTATACGAGATGATTTCCATTTGAAACGAGGAGACATTTCACTATCCGTGCTCTCAACCAAAGGAAACACCACAGTGGACTTAGCAACCCTTCCAGTCCATTTTTCATTTAATCTTCAACGGCTTGACGAAACCTTGAACTGGTTTGGCGGATTAAGCACTATTTTGGAGTTGGGCAATTCAATTTCGTCAACTTCCACCATAAAAGGTGGCAAAGTTGCTGCTAACCAACGGCCTCGTGGAGTTCATTTTGAAGTAGATTCTTCTAAAGCCCGGCCGTTGCCGGTTGGTAGCTCCGGAGTTAATCCTATCCCCTGGAAAATTAATGCTCGAATGAAAGGCTTTGTCATGACGTTGCAAGGAGACAGGTGCAGCTTGAAACTTAAGACAACCGCCGTCAAGATCGTGAGTCGTTCAGCGGGAATAACAGTTCAAATTGACAAAGGAAAATTGACGGGTCCTCTCTTAAATGATGTTTATAACGCCGAGGCTAGTGCGATTGTTAATTTGCTGAATATTCGCACCCAGTTTATGTTTGCGCCAATGGAGGAAGACTTGGATAGACTTCTTTTACTTTTGACTCCATCCAAAGACAGGTACGGCGAAGACGACGACATAATGCTTGACACCTTGTTTAGACAGAGGAAACAAGGAGCTGTCCTTCGATTAACCGTTGGAAACCTCAAGGCGGATTTTCCTGAACCGGAGATGCTCAGACCTTTATCAAGCTTGGGGAATGAACTGGCTAAACTCTCTACAGTCACAAAATATCTCCCACAAGATGATCGACCAGGCATACTTACGTTAGTCCTTGTTCAAGAATGTTCTTGTGGAGTTGCCCTTGGAGGAAGAATAGGCGATATCGAAATTTCTCTAACAGGAGTGGAAGCTGCGCATGTTGGCATTCCATCTCTTATGGCGGCCCGTGTTTCCACACTCGTGGTTTCACGAAATGATGATGAGGAACTCGTTGGGGAAGCCGCGAACTCCCAGGATGAAACTAACATTGTAGCGCTGCCTATGATCATGGCCCGATTCATTGCGGATGAAATGGACCCAACCGTCAAAATAAAACTCTCCAACGTCCGTTTTGAATATACAGTGCCTTCAATCGTCGCTTTTCTCGGTCTTGACAACGACATGAGTGCTGAAGATTTTGCTGCTAATATTGCCAATTCTGTTGTCAACCTTGCTGAGTTGAAGTCCCAAGAAACGACAATTCATCGGCTGGCGGAATCCTCGATGAGCTCGGTGAGCTCCAGGCCCTCTCCAGTTCCATCAAAGCTTTCAATCACTTTAAGAGACTGCTTAGTTGGACTCAACCCTCGAAAATCTCCTGCCAGGGGCATAGCAGTTTTCACATCTGCGAAATTTTCAGGATCACTGGATAAAGATGTTACCCTTGATGCTTGTTTGGAAATCCAAAAGGCCACTGTGATGATCATAAACGACTCTCGAAATGTGGGGACGCGTGGTAGCTCTCATACACGAACGTCCAGCGATAGTCAAAGCAACCAGGTTCAACTTCTACACGGCATGGGATATGTGCCTGTTTGTTATCTCTCGTCGGCTGCTGTTGTCGTAAAAGTAATGCAACTTGATGACAACGGCGAGAAGTCCGTCGACGTTGAGGTAAGAGATGACTTACTCATTCTGGAAACGTGCGCTGATTCTACTCAAACATTGATTACCATTCTAAATGAGCTGGCACCTCCTTCACCTCCGAACAAATCGCTCAAATATCGAACTGAAGTCATGCCCATCGATGACATGCTGAGCTCTTTTACGGGAAACGCATTCGAAACGAGCCCCATTCGGGAAGTTGGTAATCTATCAAATAGCTATCCTGTTGACGAGAAAGAGGGCGATTTGGCTGAGGAACTTGAATACGTCAGTGACTTTTATCCTGTGACCCTAGAATCAGGGAAACATGATCCGGGTCGTAACATGCATATATCTGGTACTAGCGACGCAGATGATGGCCTTTCAGGACTGGCGCACGGACCGAAGACGCTTCTCGAAAGTTTCTATTCTGAAGCTCACGTCTCATCTAGCGTTTCGAGTTTGGATTTCCAAGAAGACCATTTCGCACGAAAGTCTGCAGTTGGAGGCACAGCGCATAGATGGGACTCCACATATAATACCTACGCCCTCACAAATGATGCCAAACTTCACGGTAGTCCGCTTAGAGTGAGGGTTCGAGACGTCCATTTCATATGGAACCTCTTTGATGGCTTTGACTGGCAACACACGAGGGATGCGATTTCTAAAGCCGTTAAGGATGTTGAGGCAAAAGCTAGTGAAAAGTTTTCACGAGTTGGTGGTCGCTCTTCTCCCCAGATGGGCAGCGAAGAAGACGTGATTGGGGACTTCCTGTTTAATTCCATTTATATCGGAATTCCTTCGAATCGAAACCCTCAACAGCTGCGAGAGGATATTAACGCTCATATCGATGATTTAGCCAGCGAGACAGGCAGTTTTGCCACAACCACGACGATGACCGACGGGTCAGCTGCTACAATCAAAGCCCCTTCCAAAAGGAGCAAGAAGCTCAGATTGAATCGTAGCAAACGCCAGAAGATGACATTTGAACTGAAGGGCATATCTGCAGATTTGGTAGTATTTCCTCCCGGATCTGGAGAGACCCAAAGCTCCTTGGATATTAGAGTGAATGATCTGGAAATATTTGACCATGTGCCATCGTCCAACTGGAGAAAATTTGCCACATACATGTATGATGCGGGCGAAAAGGAGAACGGCACGGGTATGGTTCACCTGGAAATACTGAACGTCAAGCCGGTAGCGGAGCTTGCCGCGTCGGAAATCATTCTTAAGGTATCTATACCTCACAAATCTTATTTTTTACCGTAATTTTATGCTTGGGATCAAAGCATTGTGCTAACTCCCTTCCCAGGCCACTATTCTTCCCCTCCGTCTTCATGTTGATCAAGATGCTCTTGATTTCATGACTCGGTTTTTCGAATTCAAGGACGATTCGGCGCCAGCTGATACTTCGCCAACCGAACAACCTTTCTTGCAAAGGGTCGAAGTGAATGCCGTTCGTGTCAGATTGGATTTCAAACCAAAGAGGGTAGATTATGGCAGCCTACGGTCAGGACGGACTACAGAATTTATGAACTTCTTCGTTCTTGAAGAAGCTGACATGGTCCTCCGCCACGTAATTATCTACGGCGTTTCAGGATTCGAGAAATTAGGTGTAACACTCAACGATATATGGATGCCGGACATCAAGGCCAATCAACTTCCCGGAGTTCTTGCCGGTCTAGCGCCGATCAAGTCTCTTGTCGGCGTTGGCAGTGGATTCAAAGACCTAGTTGTCATTCCAATGCGAGAATATAAGAAAGACGGTCGTATCGTTCGCAGCATCCAGAAAGGCGCTCTAGCGTTTGCCAAAACCACAACCAACGAACTTGTGAAGCTGGGTGCTAAACTTGCCATTGGCACCCAGACCGTCCTTCAAGGCACTGAAGATTTCCTTAATGCACCAGGTGATGTTGGGTCACAACGCTATGTCGCAACAACAGATGACGATTCGGCCGATGAGGAGCAGCAAAAACAATTCTCTCCTTATGCGGATCAGCCGGTTGGTGTCGTGCAAGGTTTGCGTGGTGCATATGCGAGCCTTGAACGAGATCTCCTCATAGCACGTAATGCGATTGTTGCTGTGCCGGGAGAAGTGATAGAGAGCGGAAGTGCACAAGGCGCTGCGAGGGCACTGTTGAAACGAGCCCCTACCGTCATTTTGAGGCCTGCTATTGGCGCATCGAAGGCTCTTGGGCAAACCTTATTGGGTGCAGGAAATTCACTGGATCCTACTAACAGAAGACGTGTTGAGGATGTAAGCTCCCATCCTCCTACCCACTTTTTGCTTCACCTACTAAATTTGTTATCATTTACTAATTTGTTTACTCTAGAAATACAAACGACACTGAACCCAGATAATGCTGATGCCAGAAATATTTCTAGCTATGCCCAAATAACTTTCCACTGAACCAAACCTTTATTTCTCTCCGTACCCGCTTTCATTCACACACTCTATTCTCGCCTCCCAACTTCACTATATCTTCTATTCGTTGCACTCCCTCTGCCGCGAAGCCCATTACCCGAATTATTACAGGCTCACTCACGAATGTCGTTATTTAGCGTCTCTCACAGCCGTTTCCTCTACCACGGCCGTTTCCCGGGCACTATGAAGTCTGAATCCTACTTACCATTCATGACCCAGCAGATCAGATTTTATGAGAACAGAGTCCTTTCTTTATTTCTCTCTTGTTTTGGAAACCCTTGGGCAATTTTGGAGTTGCTCATCGTTTTTCATTTTCGTTTTAATGTTACCCCATTTTTCTTTGGAACGATACCATTGTTATGACATAAAGATTGTTTTGCTTTATTATCCGGATAGGTATTTCTTACCATTATACCATTACGATAGCAATTCTCCACGCATATATCATGCTGTTCTACTTGATTCTGCCTTAAATCTCTGCCCCACATATCGCGCGCTGCATGTCCATTTTGCATTGTTTTTGTTTTTCTTTCGTTTTCGTTAAGAGATTGATTAGCGTTAGCATATAACCCCGGATAAATCTATGCATAAATTTACGCACAAAAGATTTTTTGGTTTAGATTTCAGTTCTTGAGGTCTATTGGTCTTGCTCTAGCAAACAGTACGGGCAGCTTCAAGGTAGATGTCCCTTTTTTACCCCTAGGAATCTGCCTGGAGCCGATACCTTCACATGCTCAAAATTGGTGAAACAGTAACTTTTCTGATATGTATATCGTATGTATTTTATTTTTTTTTTTAATTACCATCCATCACTCCACTAACGTTCAGCAGCTAAGCAGGAGTCGACTCGGTAGGGCTGACCGGGATGAAACTCAGCTCGGAAGTGGAGACTTTTGGGGGTCCTTGCTTCCTAGACAAGAATAAATGGTCGAGTTGCAGCAGTTCCTGCCTCAGTCTCTCACATGTCAGGCAATTTGATACTTGGATTGCATACACCAGACACTGCGGGATGATGTGATTGGTCTATGGAGGCTGTCATGGGATGTCTTCAAGAGGATGGGATGTGCACCGCCTCATGCAGAATGTATGCACCAAGCCACAAATGCACCACACCCGCACTCAATATTTACTAACTTTTCAAACCGGAAAGCGGCGAGGAATCATAGCTTCGATAAGCTCTTTGCTTTGTTTTGTTTCAAAGCTATGTGTAGCATGTGTTAGTGCATTTCAAAGGAAAGCGTTCTTCACATGCTAATATCACATACCCGCCGTGCAGATTTCCGGCACAGAGCTGTAAGGATAGCCAGGTTTTATGAACCAACATTGGCCATTCCTGGAGTTGTATTCCCTACCATTCGAAATATTTTTAGGTACTGTCATATGCAAATCCTGTAGCAATTATGTCACAGGTTGGTGAAGAGATTTTTCTAAAAAATAAATTTCGTATGTACTCTCTTTTGACTGCGCGGACTTTGCAACAAAGACCTACCTGCTAGTTTTCATTCATGAAGCGGGGATATGCATGTGGCGCAGCTGCCGAACACACGCAGAAACGATATTGTTTACCACCAACCGTTTGATCCAACCTTTACCAGTCTATCCACACCATTGACTTCTCCCTATCCTAATGAAATTGGCAGGTAAGGACATCACATGTGAAAGTCGTATTAAAATGAATGAACTTAATACTCCGCCTTTTCCAATGCATGCGTTGTATGTAAAGCTCCGAGCGAATTGACCCCTGCAGATATAGATAGGAGAATCTGACGTTGACAACTTCCTCAATCTGAAAGCAAACAACCAACCATATTTCAAAGGGTAATGGGAGAGGGAGTAGGCATGGCTATGTGTCAGCCAAGAGGATATGGTTATTGATGGGTGATTGAAAAGAAATAAGGAGCTGCCATCTCAAAAACCGGAGCCAACCGCCCATTCCCAAAATAGCATTATTCACAGAAAGCGCTGGGAAAGGAGATTGCAAGTGTTTCCTTTCAGACATGGGATCGAATGATATACCATATGATATGTAGGGTGGCCATTATTACCCTGTTTTCCGATCCGATAGTGCCGCGGAGTGGGGACGAGGACCTCCGGTATATACCCACCTTTCCATCTTGGCAGGTTGGGTAAACTGTTGATGTCTGCCAGGCACAAAAATACAACTTATGCCTGGATAGAGCTTTGTCGCGATCTAACTGGGCGATTTTTCACGAAGGAGAGGGAAATCACCGAAAATAATTGTCAGGAATTCAGACAATCTCTGGAGCACCTTCAAAAATAGCTTTTTACCAGGAAAAGCGTTCATGCCACCCATTCCCTGGGTTGATTAGGTCCATCACACTTCAACGGGCAACTAGAAAGAGCCGCGTGAGGTAGTTATTGCAATTGCAGGCGACCATTTGGCTGATGTTACAGCCTTCTGAATTACTCGCCGTGTTCCCCCACACCCGCAGCCCATCCCCAGGACATCCATGATCGGCCGCTTAGGCGGGTTCCTTGCAGAGTGGCCTTTATTGGATCTGAATATTCCACGATGATATCAGAAAGGAGCGCCACGTCTGGCCTTGCTGGACAACCACTAGCAAACTGTTGACCATCAGCCGGCACTTTTTGGATGTCCCCTTCATGATCAACATCCTAATTCTGAACGATAACTGGCAGAAGCGAGGCGCTGGGGCCTGGACAAGCCTGTGTCAGAAATGTCGCATCCGCCCTCCTCATTGGCTAGTTACCGGCATCCCACCCCTTTGGTCACGTCCATCCCAACTGGACTGCTTGTGGTTTGAGGCGAAACATCCGCACTACCATTATTCAAGTCCATTTACATGGCGGACGTGTACCCGGCGAGTCCATGGCTTGCAAGTTGGGCTGGGTCGCACAACCCCACCATAAAGAAATAAATGTGATTTTTGAAAGGCGGTGTTGGTGTGTATCGCGTACTCCAGGCAATACGGACTGTGTGGATGGGGTGACGGTATTCCGTATATCCAGCTCTTCAATCCCTGATATCGTATTGGGTATCTTCTTTCCATTTTTCTTGCTTGAGTATTTCTTTTTTCAATAGAATGAAATTTATCCCATCTCTTTTGATATGATATTTATTGCCCTATTTGTCGTGTTAGAATTGATGGGAATTTGAGTATGGCAACGGCTGGCTTTTGCTATGCCTTACTGTCCCTTGCAACCTCAATCAACACCACAAACTTTTTCACTTCATTTCAGGAGGTTAATTCTCTCCGCTTCATTTGGTTGATATTTCCATGTACATCGGACATCGTGCATTGCACTGTCATATCTAAACTATTCTGATCAGAGGCCGACTTTGGAAGGTAAAAAGATTCGACACTGGTTTCTCAGAGATCAGTGACAACACAACGCTGGTAAGACATCACTTCATCCCCCAACCGAAACCCGTGGCTCACTCAGAGAACTCACTGGCCATAATGTTGACATGCTGCAAAGGTCTGTTGATGACAGTATTTAACTTGGGAACCAACAGCCCGTATTCATGATTCTTTCGTCGACTTCAATTGGTGACTTCATGGTCCAGCTTCGGTCTAGATATGCTTTGAAAGGCCTCAACAGGCATTGCTTTTCATCATCTATTACCACATCGCAGCACTCCTATATAGCTACGTTAGCAGAAAGGATCCAACCTGTGCTTTAGAACCACATACCTCCATTTTACGTATGCTTGGCTGTGGTTAAGTTTACGGGAATATGGATTTCATAGCGGCCGATGACATCTGGAGTGGTGTGAGCGTTGATGAATATCAACAATTTCATTCATACTCAGAGGTCCCGATTCCGCTACCTCTTTTCTCCACTGATTCGATTCGCCGAACTTGCTCCGCTCCCACCTCACGACCTCTATCCCCTCCACTAAGTCCTGATCCAACTGTCCTGGTTTCTCTGCATCCCGTCGGGAGCAGGCAGGCTTCGGTCGGGCTTTCCCTGCATGAATATCGTAAAACACTCTCCCGTCCGCATCTGGATGAGGCTTCTGTTTCCGGCCCGCGAAAAACATTGAGAAGGAAGCCTAAAGCTTTGAACCTCAATCTTGTTCGATCCGCTAAAACTCCACCTTCTCCCCCTCCCAGCCCTGCATCATCAGGATCTCCAAGATATCCCCTAGACTCAGTAAGGTCATCGCGATCCTGCTTGCTATTTGCCGGAAAATCGGTTACCAGCCAAGATGAAGGAGGTTTTCATGAATATATTCCCCACCACATTCTAGGGGAGGCTACGTCATTATCACACATCATTCATCCATTCACTGCTGCTCTTAACACTTCATCTCAGCAACCCCCTCTGGCGAATTCTTCTCCTTCACCCCCACCCCGCACTCCTGCTGCTAGTATAGCGAGCGCAAGCACCGGAATCAGGAAATTGGTGAGCTTTTTTTTTTTTTTTTTTTTTTTTTTTTTTTTTTTTTTTTCCCTTTTAGGATTTTAATACATTGTTAGGCTTTCTAGTGTTCCTTTCCTCACACGCCAGTTATGCTGTGACTTATACATTGCGCTTTTGCACAGAGGTCAGACGTGTTGACTAATGAAACGCGTCAGAACGCGTTCAGGCACCGCTTAAAACAGATTCCCGTCAAGATCATGTCTCATCACAAAAGTTCTTCGGATTCTGCTCTATTCCAACGGCCAGATTGCTCAAACACTAAGCTTCGCCACAAGGGCGTTTCATTTGAGATACTCAACCCGCCTAAGTCACCTACATTTCCCGTATCTTCCAAGCCTCTTGCATTACAGAAGGGGCTCCCAGCCCCCGCCCCTTTTTTCGACCCAATGTCTTCTCAATTTTTCAACCAAGGCACCCCAGCCAGAGAAATTCGTAGGGAACAACAAAGTCCCCTGGAACACGGGAGTCAATCTAGGACAGAGAGAGAGGAGTGTCGACCCATATCTCCACGGGCTT